GGACAAAGATACATGTCCTCCAGAGGACCACGCTGTCCTCACTAATCTAGCCCTCCGTTTCAATTCTGACCGGCTTTTTAAACATGTCCTCATTAAATAGCCCATCCAATATGCTTTTCCACGATGACAAAGCTCGCTAGGAAGTTAATTGCGCATTTTATTAACTTGGATTGTTATTGGGAGGCGTATCTAATGAAGAAAGCCGTGCCCCAGTGGCAGTTTGCATCACAGCTGAACATCCAACTATTGTACGGGGTGGCTTAATATAAATAGCGACATTGATTTTTTGGTCCTGAACTCGTGAGTGAGTGAGTGAGTGTGGATCTATGCTGCCTAAAGCAGTAGTCATGACACAACTTAGAGGTGAGGTGAAATGGGGTTTAACGTCGCGACCAAGATTATTGCACTTTTATAGAGACGTGAATGTAGTGTGTGTGTTTGTGTGGCTGCTTGTACTAGTCCGGACTGATGCCGATTTATAGTGCTAGCTCACTGAGATACCATGCCGCAGTTTTAACTTGAATACCCCACTCAGACACAGTATACTGACTCCGAGACGACCTGTACTTGTTTTAGCCCCTTAATGCCGAGCGCCAGACAGGGTAACAACAAGTACCATCTTTTAACGTCTTTTGGTATGACGCGGTCGGGGATTGAACCCTGGACCTTCCGCTCTCCGGGCGGATGCTCTACCACTAGACCACAGAGGCGGTCCCTAAAGCAGTAGTCATTACTCAACTTAGGAGGTGCCAAGAAACACTATTTTGCCTTTTACATCCAAAGGAATCTGTTTTGATATTTGAAACTGATTTTTTTTTGGCATGATGTTTCTAATTTACATTTTGTTTCAACAAAAATATTTGAACCTGGTCTTTGGAATGAGAGGAGAATCCTCACTCAACTCGGACATCCAACCTCAGTGGCCGAAGCCATACAACTGGATCACAAAGTGATGTTAGTGCTATGACAACTCTAATTCAAAATATCAGCATAGGAGTTACAATAGCAAATCACATCAAGATTGTTTTTATTTCTCTGCTGTTTTCAAAGAATAATAACCCGATTTGAAAAAAGTGCCTGTGAAGAAACCAAATAGACTTTCAAAACTTATCTCAACCCTAATACCACTTGGAAATTTTCAGTGGCATCACCGTTTGACAATATGCCTCATGTCCATTGTCAGTGGAAGGATATTTATATATGAAATAGTATGCACCCACAAAAGTTAGGTCCCTAGGAACCCATGAATTATTTTCAAGAGTTCTTTCAGGAAATATGAGGGTCCTGTAAAGTAAAGAAATGGTGTACAGTACTGTACTGTACTGTACTGTACTGTACTGTACTGTAAGATTTGATGATTACTTTCATTACAGGGCCATTATATTTCGTATCAAGAATTTAGTACAATGAATATTTTTCAATATATATTTTTTTGGCATCCATTCTATGGATTTTTGCTTACTGGACGCACATTTCTGCATCTGGGCCCACTTGCACAAAACGATCTTAGCGCTAAGACTATTGTAAGCCTATGTTAAAGTATGGGAGTTAAGATCATCTTAGCGCTAAGATCGCTTTGTGCAAGTGGACCCATGTAAAACCCTGCCAATAGTATGACCATAAATTTCATCCCGAAACATCAATATCAACAATTTTGGGAAAGTCAAGATTTTCAGTATCAAAACTTGATGTTCATATCAGTATTTCCCTTGACAATATTCATCCCAGTATCAATCAGTAAAGTAATAGTCCCTTGCTGTCTCTTGATGTCAGACTAACAGATGATAAACATGTGACTACACTTGAGATTTCAACACCATCTTTCTCGAGTTGCAAGTCAAAGGTCTTATTGGATGGAAGCTACAACTAGGGTCCCAGTGGTATCTATTGTCCAAAGTCACGTCACTAGTGTGTAGGATGAATATATGTCTTGTATGAATCACACCACAAGTGAGAAGGATGCATATCTAAGTCTTGCATGAATCACACCACTAGTGTGTAGGATGCATATCTAAGTCTTGCATGAATCACACCACGAGTGAGGAGGATGCATATCTGAGTCTTGTATGTATCACACCACTAGTGAGAAGGATGCATATCTAAGTCTTGCATGAATCACACCACTAGTGAGAAGGATGCATGTCTAAGTCTTGCATGAATCACACCACTAGTGTGTAGGATGCATATCTAAGTCTTGCATGAATCACACCACGAGTGAGGAGGATGCATATCTGAGTCTTGTATGTATCACACCACTTGTGTCGTAGATGCACTTCTCAGTCTTGCATGAATCACATCACTTGTGTCGTGGATGCACGTCTCAGTGTTGTATGAATCATACCACTTGTGTCGTGGATGCATATCTAAGTCTTGCATGAATCACACCACTAGTGTCGTGGATGCATATCTGAGTCTTGCATGAATTGCACCAGTAGTGAGGAGGATGCATATCTGAGTCTTGCATGAATCACAGTAATATTGAGGAGGATGCATATCTGAGTCTTGCATGAATCACAGTAAAATTGAGGAGGATGCATATCTGAGTCTTGCATGAATCACAGTAAAATTGAGGAGGATACATATCTGAGCCATGCATGAATCACAGTAATATTGAGGAGGATGCATATCTGAGTCTTGCATGAATCACAGTAAAATTGAGGAGGATGCATATCTGAGTCTTGCATGAATCACAGTAAAATTGAGGAGGATACATATCTGAGCCATGCATGAATCACAGTAATATTGAGGAGGATGCATATCTGAGCCATGCATGAATCACAGTAATATTGAGGAGGATGCATATCTGAGCCATGCATGAATCACAGTAAAATTGAGGAGGATGCATATCTGAGCCATGCATGAATCACAGTAATATTGAGGAGGATGCACATCTAAGTCTTGCATGAATCACAGTAATATTAAGGAGGATGCATATCTGAGTCATGCATGAATCACAGTAATATTGAGGAGGATGCACATCTAAGTCTTGCATGAATCACAGTAATATTAAGGAGGATGCATATCTGAGTCATGCATGAATCACAGTAATATTGAGGAGGATGCATATCTGAGTCTTGCATGAATCACAGTAATATTAAGGAGGATACATATCTGAGCCATGCATGAATCACAGTAATATTGAGGAGGATGCATATCTGAGCCATGCATGAATCACAGTAATATTGAGGAGGATGCATATCTAAGTCTTGCATGAATCACAGTAATATTGAGGAGGATGCATATCTAAGCCATGCATCAATCACAGTAATATTGAGGAGGATGCATATCTAAGCAATGCATGAATCACAGTAATATTGAGGAGGATGCATATCTAAGCCATGCATGAATCACAGTAATATTGAGGAGGATGCATATCTAAGCCATGCATGAATCACAGTAATATTGAGGAGGATGCATATCTGAGTCTTGCATGATCACAGTAATATTGAGGAAGATGCATATCTGAGTCTTGTGTGAATCACAGTAATATTGAGGAGCATGCATATCTAAGCCATGCATGAATCACACCACTAGTGAGGAGGATGCATATCTAAGGTCTTGCATGAATCACACCACTAGTGTCATGGATGCATATCTGAGTCTTGTATGAATCACACCACTAGTGAGCAGGAAGCATATCTAAGTCTTGTATGAATCACACCACTAGTGAGCAGGAAGCATATCTAAGCCATGCATGAATCACACCACTAGTGAGGAGGATGCATATCTAAGGTCTTGCATGAATCACACCACTAGTGTCATGGATGCATATCTAAGTCTTGTATGAATCACACCACTAGTGAGCAGGAAGCATATCTAAGTCTTGGATGAATCGCATCACTAGTGCCGTGGATGCACATCTAAGTCTTGCATGAATCACACCACTGGTGAGGTGCACAATGATTCCTCCTACCCTGGACTTTGGGCTGAAAAATCCGTAATCCTAAAAATACCCAGGAAGCTCAATGATGTCCTGGTCACCTTTCTGGGTCAGAATTCCCCCTTGCCAGTTTCATCATCAGCAAGTACACACTATCTCAGTCCTGACACCAGCAAGAGGAAGTCCAGAAGATGAGGAGCAGTAAATCTCAAGGATTAATTTCTAGCACTGCAAGCTGTTCATATTTATCACATCAAGTGACACAAACATGTTTATACTGTCATGACTTGTGTTCTTGTTCATGGTATGAGATAAACATGGCATTTGATAAGACAATGTATTTCTGTAATCTATTTCCTGCACTCAGTGATTTTGTCCAAACAAAGGCCAATAGGACATTTTCATGATTTTATCTCCTGTATCATAACCAAATCTGAAAAGTATCTTCAGGACATTTTGGATGATGTTTGTTTGTTGTTAAACGCCACATTCAGCAATATTCCAGCTATAAGACGGCAGTGTGTAAAATAATCGAGTCTGGACCAGACAATCCAGTGATTGACATCATGAGCATTGATCCACGCAATTGGGATCGATGACATGTATCAACCAAGTCAGCGAGCCTGACCGCCCGATCCTGTAAGTCGCCTTTTACGGCAAGTATGGGTTGCTGAAGACCTATTATACCCCGGATCTTCACGGGTCTTTTGGGGATGACAATCAGTGAATAACCAAAAATAACCTGCTCTCTGGTCTCCGAACTGTATGCAATATTTCGGCTATATGACAGCAATCTGTAAATAATCAAGTCTGGACCAGACAATCCAGTGAATGACATCATGAGCATCGATATACGCAACTGGGCTACGATGACATGCATCAACCTAGTCAACGAGCTTGCCCACCCTAGTCATGTCTTACAACAAGCATGGGTTCACTCAAGACCAGTTCTACCCTGGATTGTCACGCGATTCACAACACAGAAAGTTTTGTTATAAACAAAGCAGTCAGATAGTCTAACAGTGAAACAAAGCATGTTGTTATCCGTCCAGCCACGCTACAGCAACTACACATCTGTGGTGGTGTCAGGTCGCCCTTAGAGAGACACACATGAACTGACCTGTTTGATGCTGCTGGGTCGATGTATGTAATCACCAAATTTTCTCAAGATGGACTCGGAGGACAGGGAGCTGGAAAGTAAATTGATGAGATTAGCGTCCATCTGGAGACTGGTCATTGTTTCATGTCGTGTTTCACACAGCCCAGTGTCCCAATGCGGATCTGTTTAATGGAACTGGTGTTTTAACAAATCTGTCCCTGTCACACCTAAACACTAAACACCTAAACAATTACTGTGGGGCAGGCTCAGCCTCAGCCTCCTGTAGAACCTTGGTCAACATGTGGGCATTAGGCTCAACCGTTCTTTTGATGTATAAGGTAGCTACGCAATAAATTGCGTGAAAAATGAAGAACGAAGCGTGGTTTATTTCACGATAAAACATTGTTCTATCATGATGTCTTTCCAGAGATTTAGATACGCGCTCCCAACTTGATGATGTCATATATTGGACAATCTCATCAAAATCAGATCTTAGTTCTCGCTATCGCTTAACAAAGATCTGAGGACATCCAATTACGGGTCACGTCAGAATGACCTTTCGCGAACTTTGACCGACCAATGAAATGACTGACAAGAAATCAACATTAGCCAATCAGAAGGCAGCTTTCTCGAGATTTACGACACGTTTCAAACTGGCGACTACGCTAGAATGTTAGAACGACCTTTCATCCGACCAATCAAAGCGTCGCTTACCAGATCATGAAAGTGACAGTCGGAATGTGTTTTCTAATCATGAAACCTGGAAAATGTTAAAACGGGATATTTTGAAACGACAGTTACGGCCCGTACGACTGATTCCGTCAAAATTATTGTCCATCTCTCGCTTCCATGGGAACAGAGGAGGCGTTGCACAGTACGTGGGAAGCACTGCCATACAATCTCAACCATACATTAGAAATTCCGGAATGTTCTTTAGTTCAGTTTTACAAAATTTTAATCGAGAACTGTCAACATATTTTTCAAGCCAGGCTGAAACGAGTGCTGTAAAGCTCATGAAAGCTGCTTTCTAATTGGCTGATGTCCACTTCTTCTTAGTCATTTCTAAGGTCGGTCAAAGTTTGTGAAAGGTCGTTCTGACATGACCCATAATGGGATAGATATCCTGAGATCTTTGTTTAGCGGCAGCGAAAACTTAAATTTGATTTTAATGAGATTGTATGTTGGACGATGTTATTTCTGAGAAGGACGACTCTGTCAATTTGAATTCTATTTCATTCAAACTATCATGTTATTGATATAGTAAGAATGTAAGGAAGAAGTTTGTTGATTTTCCGTTAGTCTGCAATCTCGAACCAATCTGATTATACAAACAACAAAGTAAATTCATCTGGAAAACATGGTCAGTCGTAAACCTTTTCAAAATGAAATATGATGGCATTCCCAAAGACATAAACAAAAGTATAAACGTTACTACATTTGGGGTTAGAGGCCAAATTTCAAGATTCTTGTAATGGTCGCGCCCACTCTGGTGGCAGCGGTGTTACCGAGAGTGTAACGAAGGTGTCACTCGCTGGGAAGGAGCTTGCTAAAAACATGTGGCAAAGGAAGTACCTCTGGAAAAAATATTTACAGGACCAATTTTTAACAGTCTTCATAAGTATCTCGTTGAAAAGCATGCAAAGTTTCATACATGTAACGTCAGCAGTTTCCGATAAAAGTTGTCCCCATTGAAGACACTATGTAGTAAGTTATAAAGCATGGAGCAAGGGCCTTATAACTCTTAAAATAATAAATTGACAGCACACATTTTTCGAAATTCAGTCTTGACAAGCATATCTTAGAAAAGCATGCAAACTTTATTCATGTAACTTAAGTATTTCGTGAGAAAACGTGTCCTATTTCATGCAGTATACAGTAAGCTGAAAAGCACCGAGCACGGACAATAACTCAGTAAAAAATGAATTTAAGATGAACTCACCAGTAATATCAGAGTGTAAATTTTCATTTTTCTAACATATATAGTTTGGGATAAAAGTTTGTCCCTTTTGAGAAGCGGAGGGACGGAGGATAACTCCATTCCTATATCCCCCACCCAACTTTGTGACGGAGGAGAAAACTATGTATAATGCTTGTCAAAGGCTCAGATAATACAATTTTTATTTCCTAATATCGTATTCAACGTAATAAGCGCCCAGGGTGCTCTCAAAATAAGAAATAGGGGGCTCTTATAAGAATAAAATTTTGGTGAAAAAATAATGAGTTGAAAGATTGTAAATTTCGTGGTTTATGCTGACAGCCTGAAATGATACAAAAGAAAAATCTGTGTGTATTATACACGACAGATATATTTTTCCAGAATTTAATTGCCCATAATTAAGGGTGCATATAACACACGAGTGCGTATTATACACAAATAAATAAGTCTTGTGTACATTGATCAATCGGAAGGAATTGGGATTGTTCACTATCCAATATATCAGCAAATACCGCCGTGGGCGCTTATTGGAGCAGGGCGCTTATTACGTCAAATACGGTATGTCATGTTTATGGAAACACACTCAGGTAATAATCTCTCTTCATCAAATAGTTGTGTAGTGCATCAAATTATGTTTTCAACATGACTGCTGGATGGTCAAGTTTAAGATTTTGTAAGTTTTAAAAAAACCTGGGCTCAAATCAGGTTGTGCACATACAAGGTCTATTTCATGAACAATATCTATTAGAGGATATGTTTAAAATGGGGTATTATCCGAACATAATGGGTCTGTGCTGGGCAAAGATCATAGCATCTAAATAAGGCCTGAAGAAACTGTTTGATATCATGGTGCTCGATGTTAAAATGTATAAAAATTGATTTACTAATGTGCACATCAGATGATCTAAAAACTGACAGTGTTGGAAATTTTGGCTCTATAAATATCATACATATTATTAAGTTTAATAAATTCATTATTCCGCAAATTAAAAATTATATGAACATGCATATCAGACTAAGATTTTTTTTATAAATATACTTGCATATATTTCAAAATTGACATACTGAACATATTGAAAAAAGTTTACTGGGAAGTAGTGCACGGGAGTGCATTTAGTGTGAGCAACCTTTCATAATTCATATCATATCATAATTATCATTTCAATAAGATGATTTATACCAACCAGCCTTCAATATTTGTATGATAATGTTTCTGATCTCATCACCGACAGAAACTATTCATCATCAGGAGACTTCACCCACAGTCCCCAACATAAAAAAGTAAACAAACGACTAACCTCTTTCACATTTTATATAAAAACGAAATATCCAAAATCCAAAAATATCTTTTTTCAAAATGCTTCATCATATTTGAACTACACCATCCTACACCAACAAACAAAAAACACAATATATCAGACCAATATAATTTATTCTTTACACTAAAAAATTCAATTCTCTTTCTATTTGTATTTTTGTTTTTAAAAATATCCTTCAGCGGAATTTTTTTTCAGAGCGAATAATGTTACGTTATGAGAAAAAACAGAGGTAGCAAACGACTTCCATTATCTGTCCTTCCCAATCAATTTGCCCGGAGCTCCAGCGGGCTGTAGTTGTCTGAATTCCCTGGACGGAGTCGACGGACTTAATCACACTTTATAACAGGCTTTACTCTCAATCCAGGAAATATGCTTGCCATACTGTTTTAACACCATGTTTTGGGTTGAAATTGGCAAAATTGGGTCTTGTAATAAAGCTGTTACCGTATTCGACGTAATAAGCGCCCAGGGCGCTGTCAAAATTAGAAATAGGGGCTCTCATTAGAATATTATTTTGGTGCAAAAAACAGAGTTGAAAGATAAATTTCGTGGTTTATGCTGACAGCCTGAAATGTTTATGTATGACAGATATATTTTTCCAGAATTAAATTCCCCATAATTAAGGGTGCATATAATTTTAACACACAAGTGTGTATTATACGCGAATAAATAAGTCTTGTGTACATTGATCAATTGGAAGGGGTGCTAATTGGGATTGTTCACTAGCCAATATATTAGCAAATATCACCATGGGCGTTTATTAGAGCGGCACGCTTATTACGTCGAATACGGTATCTGGCTTTCCTGGGAAGCTCTCGACCACTGCCTGCATTGTACTATATCATGATGTCAGGGTGAAATTAAAGCAAGCCTACAAGAATAACTGATGTTTGTACAAGTGTAACGGTGTGACTAGCTATTAAGAATTGTCAAAATGAAGTGTTTGTCTTTTTTTCTAATACACTGACATCAAGAATGCTGATAGTTTGGTACTTAAACTGTGTGTTACGAATCAAGTTTACAGAATTTCTTGTAAACTGAACTTTTTTAAATATGGTGTTTAAATACCATTTTTTACATAGATCCTATTTCTGTGTCCCAAATCATCTCATAATGGTCTTGATATTTTTCATAACTCAAATAAAAACGGTATCCTGTTATATGAAAATTTGTTGAATAGATTAATTAAATGGAAAAACCAACGTCATGGATCCAGCGAAGAAATTACCAAGCCATTAATATCTGTATTGGTTCTCGTGTGGTTTGACTGAATATTATCACATGATGAATAATACCCTGTAACAAACTGAAATCAATGCTTTGCTGGGTGATCACAAATCAAAAAATATTTCTTCAATAAAAAAAAGGACTGTAAATTGTTGATTGTATCCTTGTCCCTGATTTGAAAATGCGATGTATTAATGTCTGTTACATTTTCAATCTGAAATTTTACGAGAAAAACAAAGACTAGGATCTCCCTTGGATACTGTTCCCGTTGCATCCTGGGAAATCCCCTGAGTCCGGTTGGCGTACTCACCCTCCGAGGGCCGAATCAAACGCCAGCATGGCGTTGTCCCTCTGCAACGCCAGGACGAGTGTGGGGCCTGAAGTCAGGCGTGGAACCTGCGAATAGAAGGAATGTGATCAATCGTACCCGCCATTTTACTTCCACTCACGACTCCAAATTTTTCTAACAAAATTAGCAAGACAAGCGATCTCTTTACAAGGTTAGACATGACACTTCTGTGTTAGTAGATGTTAACTTGGAGGAACAATCTGGGCAAATGGTTGACTCTTAACATGATTTGTGATCAAGAGGAAAACATAGCATAATTTCAGATAAATTAATTTTAGATGTGTGAATGTGAAATGGGGTTTAACGTCGCGTCCGAGATTATTGCACTTATATAGCGACGTGTGTGTGGGTGTGGCTGCTTGTACTAGTCCGGACTGATGCCGATTTATAGTGATAGCCAATTGAGATACCATGCCGCAGTTTAACATGAATACCCCACTCAGACACAGTATACTGACTCAGAGCTGACCAGTCCTTGTTTTAGCCCCTTAATGCCGAGCGCCAGACAGGGTAACAACAAGTACCATCTTTTAACATCTTTTGGTATGAAGCGGCTGGGTATGACCCCGGACCTTCCGCTCTCCGGGGGGACGCTCTACCACTAGACCACGGAGGCGGTGGTAATACGTGATGAGTGAAAGAAAGCAGGTTATAGCTAGCTGGTCTGCACTGCTTCAGTATCCAGTGACCCAAATACAGCCCGACTATGGCTCATTCTACAATCTGGCGAGTCGTGTTGATGTTTAGAATTCAAATTCTCTCTTGTAATCACGAAAAGTTAAGAGCAAACCTGGACCCACTTTCACAAAGCGATCTTAGCGCTAAGATGATCTTAACTCCCATACTTTAACATAGGCTTACAATAGTCTTAACGCTAAGATCGTTTTGTGCAAGTGGGCCCAGAAAATGTCATCTGTTACCCTGCCCCGTACAAATACAGGGCCTAAATACAGAATCAATCCCATCACTGACACTGGCAAATGCAGCGTTAGAAATTGGCACTAGTCCTATAGTCCTTGCCAAACTGCCCAATAGTAAAGGTATCATAAGGACTAGTAGAATTTTGACATTTTTAAAGGTTTTGCTATACGCTATCATTATAAGGACTTGTGGACTGAAACTGTTAGTTTCTACCGCTGAAATGTGAGATTGAAATCAGAATAGATAGCAACATGAATGCACATCTAAACGTTATGTTTTAAGGATGGTAAAATATGACACAAATAAAAAGGTTGTTCAAATGTGATGTTCTTGAGCCAACATTTCATTTTTTAAGAAAAAAAATATGTCACGATATTGTGTCCTATTGCCCAGCTGCCATGAGAAGATGTTAAACATCTCTACCAGCTTCTTAGAAGGGGAAATATGACTCACACAAACCTTTATCTAAGAACTGTAAATCATGAAACTGATGGTCAATGCTGACCCCTAGGCCTAAGGGACCGGTCATTTATTAAAGGGGTGGGTAGGTCAGAGGGAATCAGGGGATGGTCATCATAAAATATGACAAGCATTTGAAAAGGCAGGTCTCAAAGTTTAAATGTTTACCAAGTAGCTATATTGCTACAAGTATTTTTTTCCAGGTAGCCAGTGGTAAAATCAAGAAGTCAAGCCAATATTGTAGGTAGCCAAAAGCATTTGAAATTATCTTTATCAAATAACTATTAAAATATGTACAAGTCACAGCACTAGTCTTGAAATTGTATCTTAATGGAAACTGTACTTGAATTTTGTTACTTGTGACTCGAACAATGATGCAATTTATGTTACTAGATTATATAGGTATATCCTCGCTTATCCAATGAGCATTGTCAACTGAAATAAAGTACTAATTACATTAATTTTTATGTATTTTGGTTCATTGTCGACTTTAGAAGGAATTATTTGTGAGTACAATTATTAGCAAACATGCTTACCAATATCAGCTGTTATATATTTTTGTGTCTACAGATGTGTAGCAATAGAAGATATTTTTCTAGGTAGTCATTTGGGTACCTCTGAATTTTAGACAGTGGACAAACTGAAATTTTGGTTGCATTAGCTACCGTTTTAGTCGCAACTTTGAGGCCTGAAGGGTAATTATTTTGAGTACTTTAATGCATTACAAACCTCTGACACACCCCTACCTAAAATAAATGACTGGTCCCTAAAATCACGAAAATGATGCGAATTTGCCTTCCATAAAATTTTAACAAGAGTCATCCGAAAATGACATATCCCCCCGACGTGGCATATCGGTAAACTGTGTGTACCTTCAAATGTATTTAGATTGGTAAGGAAATCTTTTTCCTTGATGCCAAAACTAAAAATATATTGAAGGTTATTAAATATTGGTTCATGTAGCTCACTTTCTGATGATCTCATGAAATTGTAATAACAATAACTTTGCAGATTCGCATATGAATAGCTCTGTAGTAGCCTCATGACACAAAGGCATAAAGAGAATGTACTAGGGATTGACAAAAAAACAAACGTAAACATCTTGTTTCATTATATGTCAGGGGCTACAAATTAAAAAGATTAAAATCAATAAATAACAAACTGCACTACTAGTGAACATGATTGATATTTGCATAGAGTTTGGTGAATCTCTGTCGCATGGTTTAGAAGATATGCTCCAGACGAGGACATTACCCTAAGTTCATCAATTTTAAATTTAAATTGAAAAAAGAAAAAAAAAGAAAAATCTGTTAATAGCAAAGGCACCACTTCATAACCTGCTTGATAGGTGTAAAATCTTTTGAGAAGCTAAGTTGTATGGTTCAGGGATATGGTCCGGACAAGAGCACCACCCTCAAATTTCCTAAGTTCATAATATTTCCATGGAAACGACAAAAATAAAAAATTCTAAAAATCTCTAAATAGCAGAAGGCACTACTACTGAGCCTGATTGTTAAGTGTACCAAGTTTTGGGAAGCTGGGTTGTACGGTTTAGGAAATATGCTCCAGACAAGAGCACTACCCTCAAATTTCCTAAGTTCATAATATTTCCATGGAAACGACAAAAATAAAAAATTCTAAAAATCTCTAAATAGCAGAAGGCACTACTACTGAGCCTGATTGTTAAGTGTACCAAGTTTTGGGAAGCTGGGTTGTACGGTTTAGGAAATATGCTCCGGACAAGAGCACTACCCTCAAATTTCCTAAGTTCATAATATTTCCATGGAAACGACAAAAATAAAAAATTCTAAAAATCTCTAAATAGCAGAAGGCACTACTACTGAGCCTGATTGTTAAGTGTGCCAAGTTTTGGGAAGCTGGGTTGTACGGTTTAGGAAATAGGCTCCGGACAAGAGCACTACCCTCAAATTTCCTAAGTTCATAATATTTCCATGGAAACGACAAAAATAAAAAATTCTAAAAATCTCTAAATAGCAGAAGGCACTACTACTGAGCCTGATTGTTAAGTGTACCAAGTTTTGGGAAGCTGGGTTGTACGGTTTAGGAAATAGGCTCCAGACAAGAGCACTACCCTCAAATTTCCTAAGTTCATAATATTTCCATGGAAACGACAAAAATAAAAAATTCTAAAAATCTCTAAATGGCAGAAGGCACTACTACTGAGCCTGATTGTTAAGTGTACCAAGTTTTTGGAAGCTGGGTTGTACGGTTTAGGAAATAGGCTCCGGACAAGAGCACTACCCTCAAATTTCCTAAGTTCATAATATTTCCATGGAAACGACAAAAATAAAAAATTCTAAAAATCTCTAAATAGCAGAAGGCACTACTACTGAGCCTGATTGTTAAGTGTACCAAGTTTTGGGAAGCTGGGTTGTACGGTTTAGGAAATATGCTCCGGACAAGAGCACTACCCTCAAATTTCCTAAGTTCATAATATTTCCATGGAAACAACAAAAATAAAAAAATTCTAAAAATCTCTAAATAGCAGAGGGCACTACTAATGAGCCTGATTGTTAAGTGTACCAAGCTTTGTGAAGCTAGGTTGTACGGTTTAGGAAATATGCTCCGGACAAACAATGATTACAGACAGACAGACGGACGGTCAGACGGACATACTGATGGTCATTGTATGTCGGGGGGATAAAAATAGTAAACACAATAACGCGAAGACTGTCGTGGTGTGGTACAGTGCGATATTAGCTGAATATATAACGTATAGTTTTCACAAACTCAACTTTCCCTCCTCACATGTGATCTGAGCAGGAATTCCAAATAAGCCAGGTTCACATGAGATTGTAATACAAAGATTGTAAAACATTCCAAGTGTTTTACAACTTAAGCTATGAACATAACTGAGCAGTGATATGTATTCACTCGACTGTTGTAACGGTACAGGACATTTTCACCATGAGCGGTGTTTTCTTTCTACCTCTACGATTATTTGACAAAGTAACCAAGAACCAAAATGTCGTCATACACAGTTGATGACTGTCATACCTGCTTGTGCAAACAAACTGACCACACGTTATGCTGAACTTGGTGAGAGTGAGTGAGTGAGTGAGTGAGTTGGGTTTAATGCCGCTTTTAACAGTATTCCAGTTATATCATGGTGTGTCAGCTTAATGTGGGAGGAAAGCCCAAAGTGATGCAGGTCTCAGACGTTTACCACCTCGGTGAAACCCACGAGCACGGGTATGGTGCTGACAAACCTAGAAACATAATCTGGGCGAACCGGGAATCGAACCCAAAATCATAGGTTTCTGGCGTGCCCAAGCGGCACAACTCTCCTATTCAAAATGCAATGCCTTAGATGACTGGGCCACCCGTGCCCCCAATGATTTTCAGTATATAAATCAATTACACCAAAGAATGTGGCCAGTCTGATGTTTCCCATAAAGTCTTCAACTCACTGCTTGTCCACATGATTTGGTTGTTTTGTTGTTTAACGCCGCACTCAGCAATATGCCAGCTATATGACGGCGGTCTGTAAATAATCGAGTCTGGACCAGACAATCCAGTGATTAATATCATGAGCATCGATCCACGCAACTGGGACCGATGACATGCATCAACCAAGTCAGCGAGCCTGACCAACCGATCCCGTTAGTAGCCTTTTACGACAAGCATAGCTATCTTTTACGGCAAGCATGGGTTGCTGAAGACCTATTCTACCCCGGAATCTTCACGGGTCTTGTCCACATGAGGTAGACACACATGAGGTAGACACACATAGGTAGACACACATAGGTAGTCACACATAGGTAGACACACATAGGTAGACACACATAGGTAGACACACATAGGTAGACACACATGAGGTAGACACACATAGGTAGACACACATAGGTAGACACACATGAGGTAGACACACATATGTAGACACACATAGGTAGACACACATGAGGTAGACACACATATGTAGACACACATAGGTAGACACACATGAGGTAGACACACATAGGTAGACATACATAGGTAGACACACATAGGTAGACACACATGAGGTAGACACACATAGGTAGACACACATAGGTAGACACACATGAGGTAGACACACATACACACATAGGTAGACACACATAGGTAGACACACATAGGTAGACACACATATCAGCACCTGGGAATTAGGGCTGGGACGATACACCAACTGTGCAATCCGATACGTATCATGATACCTTGCTCACAATCCGGTACGTACCACGATGCTCGCATGTGCACTTTTCTGTGGTGCGTGAGCCATGTTTTTCATAGCAAGGATGGCCAAATATCTGGCACACTAACGATTTACAGTTGGCAAGTATGGGGCAATGGATGAAAATATTTACGTTTCCACTACTCATTTTCACTAGTAGTTAGTGTTTGCTGAAACATTTATTGAAGAAAATATTTAAGGTAAGAATCGATACTGTGTGCGATTGTGATGAATACTTGTATCAAGAAGTAAAAAATCGCAATCCACCAATCCATTGATGTATCTTCCCACTAAGACTCTAACCTCTACCATCAGTTTTCATCCAAACATACATCTTTAAATCAGCCTACTTTGAAACAGAAGACAACATTTCAATGATGTATCTACCTGTTTGAAACTGCCAGCGTCTACAAGGTGGAGAAAGTGTTCTGCCTGGGTTCTGGTGAACCAGAGCATCCGTGCAGCACTCAACTCAAACCTGCAACACAAGACCTCATATGATGTTAAGGGCTCCCAAAGCCACTAGTTGCTAGTCTGATACAAGTGACCATTGTATGAACTAGCAGTTTTCTCCCAAAATGTAACGCTGTAGAAGTCTGTGACTTTACCTTAGAAATTGAAGGTGCAAAACTTCAGCCACTGGTACATAAGAGTTTGTAGCTAGTCCTGCTACACTGATTTATAGCAAAATTCAAGCAATGGGAACATTAAAGTGTTTAGTCCTTAAGTGCGCACTATACTCAAGAAAATACGTACCACTTCGGTGAGACCCACGAGCACGGGTATGGTGCTGACTAAACTAGAAACATAATCGGGGCGAACCGGGATTCCAACCCACAATCATAGGTTTCTGGCATGCCCAAGGGACAAGATCATAATAACGGCGCCAATGTCAGTCGTATAGGCGACCGTACAGTCGCTAATAAGAGAGTGATTGATATTATTACCAACTCAGCATGATGACACTTAATCAAGTCACTGAACCTAACCACACCAAGCAAATTAGCAGTGTCCTACTACGAGCAATAGATTGCTTGGGACCCCTGCTTCCACACAGGTGATGACTTTCCATCACGCTGGATAGGTCACACCGCAGTATCAGTTTCAGCAAACCAAGACCTATCTAGGGCTGCACTAGGTGTCCTACTACGAGCAATAGATTGATGGGGACCCCTGCTTCTATCCAGGTGACGACCTGCCATCACGCTGGATAGGTCACACAGCAGTATCAGTTTCAGCAAGCCAAGATCTATCTAGGGCTGCACTAGGTGTCCTACAACTAGAATAGATTGCTTGGGACCCCTGCCTCTACACAGGTGACGACTTGCTATCACGCTGGATAGGTCACACCGCAGTATCAGTTTCAGCAAGCCAAGACCTATCTAGGGCTGCACCTACCCGTGTGTGAACAGAGCCTCCAATATCTCCACATGCCCCACCCCCAGCCGGTCTCGGCCTCGCCCAGTCAGCACAGGGGACATCAGCACTAGACATGTTGTCTGGAGCAGCATTTCATGAATCTCTGCAACACAGGTAGAAATAATCCAACATGAGTGAGGTGTCATGCTGTTTTCAGCAATAGTCCAACTTGAGGACATTGTATCATTGTGGCTGATCAAAATGAGCCTTATGGCTCAGTAATTTCAGTTATATGAGGCTTTTTCAGCTTAAAATTGGAGGAAAAAAACAGGTTGTTGTGCAGTCACAAGCATGGTGCTGGACAGAACAAGTTTGGATTTGAAACCATGACCAGCAGATCCTTGGTTCACAAAAGGAGGCAACTCTGCACAGTGAGTTACTTAGGTCATAGACCACTAGTCTACTATTGCTCCTATCAAGGCAAGAACTCAACATCATCAACTCAAAGTTATGGACTCTCAGTTAAAGGGAGATAACTACTGCATAAAATCACTGTGCATCAAGGGAGACAATTTCCTCTCTCGTGAAAAGCAAAGGGAATAGTGTCTGTATGAGGTTGAAAAGACATAACTCTCAGGCAACTTTCATATAATGAGACTGGTACATGCCCCCTTTTCTGTTACAATAAAGTCAGAATAACAGCATCTGTTTTTGACATCTTCCTGAGACAAGGGAGTTAACCGACTATAGAAGTGCCAGTTTCCACCCTTGCCGAACCAGGCTGGTATTATGGAGTTACATTTTGGCTGGGCTAACGAGTCTATGCATAGTCCAATCAAAATCGTGCAACAAAATTGAAATCCGGTTTGTAAACTGTCGTGCTCGTTTCGGTCGATTGCAGGATTTGCAAAGCATGTGCACCGCCAACTCGTTGTCAACAGATATTTTCCAAATCTTTTCATGATTTTAATCAAGGTGCTCATGTGATTTGATGCACTTCGCGATGTAAGACTCGTTTTATCACAATATAGATCTTGATTATCGATCAGATCGTCTTGACTGGGCGCCGCCATTTTGTTTGAATCAAATGCAAGTGATATGAAAGGTGGAATCTGATTGGTCCATAGGAGAGGTTTAGCATGGTCATTACTCGTAATAACCACTGGTGGCGCTATGATCGAGCCCAGGAATTCCAGCCTAGTCCTAACTGGACTTCTAAAGTCAGTTAACTCACTTGGCTCGGGAAGATGGTTTTTGAAAGCTGAATAAAATAGTTATGTGGAGAGCACATTATGACCTTAAGTCTGAAATGATGAACTGGTCATCTGATGGGAGGGAGTGTCCATGTGTCATTTTAGAGCTGGAAAAAACAGGATTCATTATTAATATCTTGTCCAGATGACTGATCACATACCTGCCATGTCTGTGCTGTAGGACTCGAGAGCTTGACTGTGATGTACCAGATTTACATCGCGCCTGTCAAAGTGATGCAGATCTATAGACAGGTCTTCAGCCGGACACACAATCTGTAACACCAAATGACCCCAACATGTCAAACTCTTCATCTGGCCAATATCAAATTCCTAATCTCTCTGATTAAATTTCTAGGTTTGTCAGCACCATTCCTGTGCTTGTGGGTTTCACCAAACAGGGATGACAATAAATATTTTCCTTTTCAGTTGAAATTTCTTTGCAATGGGTGGGGTGTCAGGTAGCCTAGTGGTTAAAGTGTTCGCTCGTCACGCCGAAGACCTGGGTTTGATTCCCAACATGGGTACAATGTGTGAAGCCCATTTCTGGTGTCCCCCGCCGTGATATTGCTGGAATATTGCTAAAAGCGGCGTAAAACCGTACTCACTCACTCACTCTTTGCAATGGAGCATGGTCCATAATTTGGGGGAAGCCATCAGATTTTAATACATTTGTGGTCACTAAAACTTGCGGACCGCGGAAGATTCTCACCCTGACCAAAGTGGGAAACGTCTGAGGCCTGCATCACATCAAGTTGACATGATGTGACACAAATGAAATACTGCCGTAAGTGGCATTAAACCCAAGTGACTCAATCATATGGTCTATCTGTCAAAACAGGATCAATAGATCATTAGTAAGGCTGTTACAATTCATGTGCGTATTCGGTGAATTGAACCGTATCCATTCATGAATTAAATTTGTTATTCGTGGCCACTAGAATCGAATATTTATGAATATGCAATCATTTGCATTTACATACCCTGTACCTAAAAATATCCATAAGAACATATGATATGCATATATTTCTTCAAAGACAACACTCTTATAATATTTAATTTGACAGTAATGTGGTCACTGGTCATTGTCACATTTGAGCAGATACTAGAACCTGGATAAGTGCAGTATATAAATGTATAATATATTAATAATTAACAAACCATGTCAAATAATATATTGCGTTATTGTTTCACTGAATATAACAAATAATACATTAACCTCTGACTTGTTATTGTATTTATGAATTAATATTCGTATTCGAGATACGAATCATATTCGCCTCAGTGTATTCGTTGCACCCCTAATCATTAGATTGGAATGATGAAAACAACTATTTATTGAAAATGAGAATGAAACTATTGTGCTATTGGGTGTCCTCTACAGGCTTACTCTTCCATCATGTGGAATAAGGTCACAGCACTTATATTGGACAGTGATTGAGTGAGTTGGGTTAAACGCCGCTTTTAACAGTATTCCAGTTATATCACGGCGTGTCAGCTTAATGTGGGAGGAAAGCCCGAAGTGATGCAGGTCTCGGACATTTACCACTTCAGTGAAACCCACGAGCACGGGTATGGTGCTGACAAACCTAGAAACATAATCGGGGCGAACCGGGATTCGAACCCCCAATCATAGGTTTCTGGTGTGCCCAAGGACGCAACTCTGCACAGCAAATCGCGGCGCCTAAGACGACTGGGCCACCCGTGCCCCCTTATATTGGACAGGGTGCAACAACCTGCTCTATGGTATGACTGCTTGTGTTCAGGCTTGAAGGACAGAGAAAGAAGACACTGACCCCATTGTTGACCAGCTCCGGCGTCTCCTCACAACACAGACCTTGGGGGAAGAAGAACGTCAGGTCCAGCACGGCTTGGTTGTAGTCATGTGAACCTGCGGAAGGTTGAAGAGGAAATTCTTAGTACTGTCTGTCAAGGTTAAAAAGGTGTGTTCAACATAGAAACGAGTGTGGAAGTAGGTGAGTGATTGTTCAAGCTACATCCAAGCGTCCAGCAAATGATCTGGACAACACATCCAGCAAGTGAAAGTATAAGCAATGATCCATGTCATCAGTTTGAAAGACAGACAATCAGCCTGGAGTGTGACCAAATCCTCTGGCAGGGTTAGAAACTAACAGTTTTTGTCCACTAGTCCTTATAATGATAACATATAGCAAAACCCTTAAAATGGGACATTTTCGACTAGTCCTTATGATACCTTTACTATTGGGCAGTTTGGTAAGGACTACAGGACTAGTGCCGATTTCTAACGCTGTCTGGTTAGGCACCTCATATAGTAGCCATGTAGTACGGGGGCCTGTGCTGACAAGGAGTGAGTGAGTTGGGTTTAACGCCGCTTTTAACAGTATTCCAGTTATATCACGGCGTGTCAGCTTAATGATTCACTGTGCAGAGTTGCGCCCTTTGGGCACGCCAGAAATCTATGATTGTGGGCTCCAATCCCGGTTATTATGTTTCTAGGTTTGTCAGCACCATACCCCTGCTCGTGGGTTTCACCAAAGTGGTAAACGTCTAAGACCTGCATCACTTCGGGCTTTCCTCCCACATTAAGCTGACACGCCGTGGCATAACTGGAATACTGTAAAAAGCGGCGTTAAACCCAACTCGCTCTCTCTCTGAACAAGAGGCAGGTTGATAATGAGCACAATCTTTTAATGTCTTTTGTTTTGACAATCTGGGGACAACCCATCGACCTTCCACTCCCTGGACAGCCATTCTATCCACCACGCCACGAAGGCAGGCAGAGATAGATTTATACTGTAGTCATCAATATGTGAGCTATGTCAAGGCAACTTGTTATGTGTGGCATTGTGTCTGAAGCAGACAAACCACTGGTTGATGGCATGAGCAACAAGATAGTGCCTACACTACCGTCAGGTGTGCAGAGTTTATGTAAATCAAACCTCATTCAAATCAGATCTTAGTTCTCGCTACCATTAAACAAAGATCTGAGGACATCCTATTACGGGTCACGTCAGAACGACCTTTCGAGAATTTTGACCGACCAATGAAATGACTGACAAGAAATCGATATTACCCAATCAGAAGGCTACTTTCTCGAGCTTTACGACACTAGTTTCAAACTGGCGACTACGCTTCGAAACATATTTTGACGTATTCTCGATTTAAAAAAAACCAACTGATCAGAAGAACATTCTGGAACGGCTTATTGATGGCCTAGATTGTATGGATATAATCATAAAACCTGTAACTGTCGTTCGGAATACCCTGTGTTAAATATTTCGTGGTTGCATGATTAGAAAACACATTCCGACTGTCACTTTCATGATCTGGTAAGCGACGCTCTGATTAGTCGGATGAAAGGTCGTTCTGACGTGACCCCTAATGGGATGTCTTCAGATCTTTGTTTAGTGGTAGCGAGTACAAAGATCTGATTTTAATGAGATTGATGTAAATCAAATTAATTAAGAGTGATCTCACCATACAGGCCGTTAGCTACTACGTCTCTGCCAAATGTTCCTCTCCACAGAAACTGACTCTGACGTCGAGCACTCTGGGGATCTTCTGGCCCGAGAATGTCCACTAGTCGCTTGACCGCATTCTCTCGTTGTAGACATAGGCATATGGACGGATTGGATGTCAGGTGGTCAACGTGGCTTTTGCAGAGGGCAAGATCCTGGACCAAAGTCAATACAAAATATGATACAGATTCAAAGTTACATAACTGGAGAAATGACACAACAGTTTCATGATGATTTTCAATAGTTCTTGTAGTCTATAGTCATTGAGAACAAAAGACAGGTTCTTTGGTTGTGGCTTTCATTGATCTGAGGTCAGATGTCTGTTTCAGTGTCAGGTGCCTGTAGTGTTTCAGTGGTCAGATGTCTGTTTCAGTGTCAGGTGCCTGTGGTGTTTCAGTGGTCAGATGTCTGTTTCAGTGTCAGGTGCCTGTGGTGTTTCTAAAGTGGTCAGATGTCTGTTTCAGTGTCAGCTCCCTGTGGTGTTACAGTGGTCAGATGTCTGTTTCAGTGTCAGGTGCCTGTGGTGTTTCAGTGGGCAGATGTCTCTTTCAGTGTCAGCTCCCTGTGGTGTTTCAGTGGTCAGATGTCTGTTTCAGTGTCAGGTGCCTGTGGTGTTTCAGTGGGCAGATGTCTGTTTCAGTGTCAAGTGCCTGTGGTGTTTCAGTGGGCAGATATCTGTTTCAATGTCAGCTCCCTGTGATGTTTCAGTGGTCAGATGTCTGTTGCAGTGTCAGGTGCCTGTGGTGTTTCTAAAGTGGTCAGATGTCTGTTTCAGTGTCAGGTGCCTGTGGTGTTTCAATGGTCAGATGTCTGTTTCAGTGTCAGATGACTGTTTCAGTGTCAGCTATCTGTGGTGTTTCTACCGAGGCCAGATGTATGTTTAAGTGTCAGATGCCTGTGGTGTTTTTACAGAGGTCAGACGTCTGTTTCAGTGTTAGGTGGTGTTTCAACAGAGGATAGATGTTCAGTGTCAGGTGGTGTTTCTACAGAGGTCAGATGTTTCAGTGTCAGGTGGTGTTTCTACAGAGGTCAGATGTTTCAGTGTCAGCTGGTGTTTCTACAGAGGTCAGATGTTTCAGTGTCAGGTGGTGTTTCAAAAGAGGTCAGATGTTTCAGTGTCAGGTGGGGTTTCTACAGAGGTCAAATGTTTCAGTGTCAGGTGAAAGCCACACTACTGATGCTGATACACAAGGCTGGCAGAAGTAGGGGAGGTCCCAATAAATACCGTATTTATTCGTGTATAATACGCACCCCTAATTATGGACAATTAAATCCTGGAGAAAAATATCTCTAGTGTATAATCATGATCCATCATAGCATATCAACAAATCCGTATTGAATTACGCAAGTTAATCCTGTTGTTACACTATCTGGTAATAAAAATATTTTCACTGTATTACTGACATATGTTTGTCATCTATTTTATCAATACTTATTTAAAATTCATTCAGTAATGTTTAACTATATTTCGGCAAAAAACGTGTGTCCCTCCAATACTTACAACTTCCGTTCACCCCGTTCCATAGGTTCCGCTTAACCACATACTGTGACTGCGCCAAATCGCATTATTCACCGCAACAATGATAAAAAAAATTTCTCTTTCATTTTTGACGAGTCTTCACATCTAGATGAACATATGCCATGGTTAATTTTCAATGAGAAAATATGCCTTAACGTGAAAAACAATTTCTATTTGCGTATTTTCCTTTGTTTACATCACATGCTGTCATTGAAGCCACACAGAGTGTGAGAGTTGCGGTTGCTTTTACGAATAAATATATGTTGTCATGCAGCTCATAGTCTCACAGTTTTAGTAGCATATCTATATAATTATGCAAAACAATATGTAAAGCCCCAGTCTGTTCTGATTTTAGCGTTTGTTTAAAAACGAGAGAAAAGTCTGGTCATGTGATAGGCTATGCAAATTAGCCCGTGGCAAAGGTGTTATGCAAAGTTATGTTACTTTTAAAAACTCTAAATAATTAAAAACTAGACATGACTTTTAAGACATTTGCATATATTGTCTTTAGAAAATGTTTATAAGTTAAGTTCAGGTGGGTAGTTGTAATATTTTCACTCCAAAGCTGGATACATCGATTGTTCATCTGATGACATTTCATGGCCAGCAGTGAAGCTGAGAGAATTAACAACAAACACGTTTTGAGAAGTAATATTTCAAATTAATTTTACAAATGAGTGTCTGAAACAAATAAGTGGTAATAAACTTTAAATATATAATTATTATCACAGAAATACAAAGGTACGTGTTGTGAGTGAGTGAGTGAGTGAGTGAGTGAGTGAGTGAGTGAGTGAGTGAGTTGGGTTTAACGCCGCTTTTAACAGTATTCCAGTTATATCGCGGCGTGTCAGCTTAATGTGGGAGGAAAGCCAAAAGTGATGCAGGTCTAAGACGTTTACCACTTCGGTGAAACCCACGAGCACGGGTATGGTGCTGACAAACCTAGAAACATAATCGGGGCGAACCGGGATTCAACCCACAATCATAGGTTTCTGGCGTGCCCAAGGGACGGAACTCTGCACAGCGAATCGCGGCACCTTAGACGACTGGGCCACCCGTGCCCCCTGTACGTGTTGTGATTTAATTATGCTTCTACATTAGTGGATTTAACTACCGGCAATTTCTGGTCATAAAGTTCCGTTGGTTGTCTTTCGTTGTATGGCTGGGGAAAAGGGGGTAAACATTTAGTTCTCGTGTATAATACGCACCCCTAAGTTTGGAGTCTAAAAATTGTGGAAAAAAAGTGTGTATTATACACGAATAAATACGGTATATATTTATTCAATATGTTACAAGGTTCTTTGCAAGATTTAGTAATTCTATTTTGATAAGGCTTTGATAATTGAATAGTTTAATTGCTACCAACCTGTACAATGTCAGCAGACAGGACATGTCGAGCCTGTTGTGAACTTAGGACGGCCATCTTAAGTCCTACAATCTGGAATCCTTCCTGTGCTATCTTCTTGAAGACTCTTGCCAGATGGTTGACTACAGCTGATGGTTTAATGAGTAGAAAGGTTGTGAGCAGTCGTGGGCCAGCTAGCATCAAGTCAAATAGGTTCTCTTGTACCTGGGGATGATGTGATGGGCGGGATTTCTTCCAGCTGTGGAAACATATGACATAGATGAAAAATCCGTGAGCAGAATCTACACTCAGTTGATGTCTGTATAGTGGATTCTAAGTCAATCGACCATCTCGTGAAAGTTTTAATGTTCTATTCTAAACATATCATGTGGATGTTTCTTAAGCTCAATCTCATTCAAATCAGATCTAAGTTCTCACTACGGCTAAACAAAGATCTGAGGACATCCCATTACGGGTCAGTCAGACCGACCTTGGGCGAATTTTGACCGACCAATGGAATGACTGACAAGAAGTCGACAGAAGCCAATCAGAACACAGCTTTCTCGTGCTTTATGGCACTAAATTCAAATTGGCGACTACGCTTCGAAACATACTTTGACAATATCTCGATTAAAAATTTGAAACCTGAACAAAAGAACATTCTGGAATGGCAAATATATGGTCTAGATTGTATGGATTCAGTTGTTAAACCCGTAACTATCGTTCAGAATACCCCGTGTTAAAGTTTTCGAGGTTGCATGATTAGAAATCACATTCTGACTGTCACTTTCATGATCTGGTAAGTGAAGCTCTGATTGGTTGGATGAAAGGTCGTCCTGACGTGACCCCTAATGGGATGTTCTCAGATCTTTGTTTAGTGGTAGCGAGAACTAAGATCTGATTTTAATGAGATTGTCTTAAGCTCTCTGTACCGCTGCAATACATAATTTGCCTGAGAGCTAATAAGTTGATATATAACTATCATGAAATACTTTATTGTAAACACATTCCTACACAGTAAATGTTTCAATTGTATATGTGTTGTACTGTTGGTCCTTACGTCACATGTACTACTAAACTGTCACAAAAACCACGTCTGTTTACACACATACCATATTCAACATAATAAGCGCACAGGGCGCTCTCAAAATTAAAAATAGGGGGCTCTTATTAGAATATTATTTTAGTGAAAAAAAACAGTTGAAAGCTCGTAAATTTTGTGGTTTATGCTGAAAACCTGAAATGTTTATATACCACGGATATATTTTTCCAGAATTTATTTGCCCATAATTAAGGGTGCATATACCACACGAGTGCGTATTATTCACGAATAAATAAGTCTTGTGTACATTGATCAATCGGAAGAGGTGATAAGTACTCACGGAAATGAAAAAAACCTGTTTTTCTCAATTTAAAAATCGACACAAAGTGTTACGTAGCTGTAAATACGAAATAACAAAACAACTCGAAAAGTACTAGTCTGGATTTGCTAGTTTGATCTCAGTGAACAATACAAAATGTACTTTACAGGAGATAATTTGTCGGCACTTTCAACATTCAAAAATGAAACTAAGTCCAAATTGACATAGCAGAAACAGACTATAGGCATTATGCACCTGTTCTCACCTGTCGTCAAGGTGTCATAGGTCACCTTGATCTACTTACACCTGGTTATGCCCTGTTTCACAATAGTCTGTTTTATTCACATTTTTACACACTTTTACGTGTAAAAAGGCATAAAAACATTTGATACGCTGTATTTGTGCCATGGCCCAATTAGTACTAATTTAGTTGTTTGAATATTTACATATTTTGTATATTAACTGCATTTATTTAAGATCTGAGGTCGAAAAAACAGGTTTTTTTCATTTCCGTGAGTACTTTAGTTGGGATTGTTCACTAGCCAATATATTAGCAAATATCGCCGTGGGCGCTTATTAGAGCGGGGCGCTTATTACACCGAATACGGTATATGTTTACTTATGCAGTCTGCAACTTAGCAACAACAGACTGAAGCCTACGTTTGGCAAAAATAATGACTTTCTTTTTCTGTCCCATAGGCTTAGTTGAACAGCTCAGAAGTGGGTTTTTTTCCCCTTGGCTTCGCCAAAAACATACTGGTTACTGACTAATGGCCCCAAACTTGACTGACTACTGACTTCTAACATGTCCATCTTGAATGGGCTATCTTGCCCCTACCTGAAACAGACTCTACTGATTAATTCATCTTCACCAGTGTTTGAACAAGACCCCTTACTCTGCAAGTGTTGCGTTGCCGTGACGACGTCTTGACTCAGGGAGGTAGGGCAGCAGGGGGCGACACTTGGGGTCAGGGTAGAGGTCGTGTCGGGAGAAGAACAGACGGATGTAGGTGTAAGCTTCATCAGCTGTCTGAGACATCATCTTGTCCAGGGACAGCTTCTGACCGCGGGGAGAGTGACCGGTAGTAGCATTGCGGTCAGGGAAGAGACTGGACAGGTGCTTGAAAGCATTGACCCCACGGACAGCCAGGACTAGCACAGGTTCTGCAAAGGAACATAGTCAGTAAAGTTTTGCTTAATTGTCAGAAGGATTTCAGTTATAAGACTGCATGTAGGAAAAAAACCAGACTAATATGTCTGTTTGTTTCTTGTTTAATGCCGCATTCAGCAATATTCCAGCTACAGTCAAGTCTTGTCTGGTAGCTGCATCTTACAAAGGCTGCAGAGATAAACTTGCTTCACAATAAACAATTAATGCTTTAAACAAACAAAACAGGATTAATCACATTTATATATTACCTCATTCTTATTAAAATCAGATACAAGTTCTCACTACCGCAGAGCACATCCAATTACAGGTCACGTCAGAACAACCTTTCACAAACTATGACTGACCAATGAAATGACTAACAGGAAGTCAACACAAGCCACTAAGAGAGCAGTTTTCTTGAGCTTTGCGGTACCAGTTTCAAACTGGAGACTTCCATTCCAGCCTATGCTTTTTAAAGTATTTTGAATAAGTCATACTGTCCGTAACAGTTGTTTTGTGTTGAGCTTTAGAGGTTGCATGATTAGAAGACATATTCCGCTAACAATGTAACACAACAATATGAATATTTCATTTTTCATTTTTTTATAACAACGTGTTTGTATAGAAAGTGGCTGGCGATTAGGTGCATCACTCTGGCAAGGGATTCAACCCCAAAAAAGTACGAGAATCTGTACTTTACTAAGAAAGTGTTATCCCAAATATAACATTTGTTATATCGTGTAGTTGTTCGATTTTCGATCACGAATGTCGATACTACTTAATTTTGTTTATCCGACATACTCGTTTATCCCGACATACTCGTTTATCCGATATACTCGTTAATCCGACATACTCGTTAATCCGACATATTCGTTTATCCGACATACTCGTTTATCCGACATACTCGTTTATCCGACATACTCGTTTATCCGACATACTCGTTAATCCAACATACTCGTTAATCCGACATAATCCAAAACAACCAACTATGTCGGATTAACAGGACTTGACTGTATATGACGGCGGTCTGCAAATAATCAAGTCTGGGCCAGACAATCCACTGATTAAGATGAATATCAATCTACCCAAACGGAGTATGATGAAGACATGCATCAACCAAGTCGGTAAGCCTGACCACCCGATCCTGTTAGTTACCTCATACGACATGATCGTGGTATGTAAAGCAAAATACTAACCCAGATCTTCACGGGGACTTGACCATTGTGTTTATGGATTGACACTAAATCACAAAGTTGGACTTCTAATGTTTTCAGTTAAACAACTATCAGCAAACTGGGTCCACTTGACCATAGTACTAATACCATTACAACATTACCAAGTGTATGATAGGAGCTGTATGATCAATTAGTGTACTAGTAGACATGACGCCTGTTGAAGGGACTGAGCTTCAAGAATTCATCTGCATTTTCTGTCTCGGTCCAGAGTTGGGTTTAATGCCGATTTTAACAGTATTCAAGTTATATCAAGTGTCAGCTTGATGTGGGAGGAAAGCCCGAAGTGATGCAGGTCTCAGAGGTTTACCACTTCGGTGAAACCCACAAGCACGGGTATGGTGCTGACAAACCTAGAAACATATTCGGGGCGAACCGGGTTTCGAACCCACAATCATAGGTTTCTGGTGTGCCCAAGGGACGCAACTCTGCACAGCGAATCGCGGCGCCTTAGACGACTGGGCCACCTGTGCCCCCCTTGGGTGAAACGGAGACATTTTGTATCATGTTGGTCACCAACAACTGCTTGATTGATACCTACCATCAAATTTAGCAGACAGTGGTATTAGAGGGACTTGAATCATACTTTCTGGGGCAGTTGATTAGCCTGAGCCTAGCAACATTTACTACTACGGAATACACAGTCATAGAGCATGACGACAAGAAGGAACTTTTCCCTGCTATCTGATATCAGATGGCTCACAGAGAATATGTCCTGATTTGACACCTTGAGTGAGTGAGTGAGTTGGGTTTAACGCCGCTTTTAACAGTATTCCAGTCATATCACGGCGTGTCAGCTTAATGTGGGAGGAAAGCCCGAAGTGATGCAGGTCTCAGACGTTTACCACTTCGGTGAAACCCACGAGCACGGGTATGGTGCTGACATGACACCTTGAAATCTGAATAAAACATTTCTATTCTTTGGTACAAATTTCTGAATTTCTATTCCAAAATTAATCAATTTTTTATATGACGTTCTTCTACAGCAGATTTAAATGGATCCTAAGTGTATGAACCCACCTAGTGTGAGAGTGTGGATGCTCTCTCTCCACTGCTTGTCCCCCACTTCGAAGGGCGTGACCTCCCTGGCCTGGGACATCGACAGCGTCGGCATCCACTTCAGCCCCAGCAGCTCAAACCCTGTGCCCAAAGGGGAGACAACTGGCGTCTTACTGTGTGGCACCAAGTTGAGAATCTTGCCTGAAGAAAAAACAAGACATTGTCACTAGGAAACTGCATATTGACAGGCTTGTGATACGTAACAAACAAACAAGATTCCCTGTGCAGTTATAAATCTGTGTGTATAAAGTGGAATTAAACAAGGACAAACAGGCCCCGCTTTATACCAGATACAATCAACATTTTCTACCAACATTTCAGCTTGTAACTACTAGCTTACCTTATCACTTATTAGGGTTGATTGTTCAAAGGTTCACACAGCAAAAATCGTGAAATCTTTTGTTGTGGACATTCCATGATGTCATAGAGGTATATCCACAAAATACTGAGCATATTGTTTCACTGTGACAAGTCAATAAAATAAGCAGGGGTCTGTGACCTTTGTAAAATGGAGAAGTTGAGTTGGTTAACCCAGCCCTTGTAACCAATCAACATAACATTCCTAAGCAGGAACTCTACCTACCTATGAACAGGCCACATGACTTCAGTATGTCATGGCCACCTACTGCAGGAGTGAGTGAGTGAGTGAGTATGGTTTTATGCCGCTTTTAGCAATATTCCAGCAATATCACAGCGGGGGACACCAGAAATGGGCTTCACACATTGTACCCATGTCGGGAATCGAACTCGGGTCTTTGGCGTGACGAGCGTGCGCTTTAACCACTAGGCTACCGGACCGCCCCACTTGCTGCAGGAGCTCTACCTACCTATGAGCAGGCCACATGACTTCAGTATGTCATGGCCACTTGCTGCAGAAGGTCTACCTACCTATGAGCAGGCCACATGACTTCAGTATGTCATGGCCACACAACATGAGCACGGCCACCTGCTCCAGTTCGGGGTTGGTGTACACGCTGGGCTGCAGGTAGCTGGGACTGCCCTGGAGCTCGTAGTCCGGACACTGCAACATGTAAATCATCAGTACACACTTGTACAACACAGCTGGTTAAATTGTGGTTGGTTTGTTGTTTAACGCCGCTCTCAGCAATATTCCAACTATATGACGGCGGTCTGTAAATAATTGAGTCTGGACCAGACAATCCAGTGATTGACATCATGAGCATCAATCCACGCAATTGGAATCGATGACATGTATCAACCAAGTCAGCGCGCCTGACCACCCGATCCCGTCAGTCGCCTTTTACGACAAGCATAGTCGCCTTTTATGGCAAGCATGGGTTGCTGAAGACCCCGGATCTTCACGGGTACCATATATCGCTGTGTATAAGGCGACCCCACGTATAAGACGACCCCCCAAAATCCTATACTCCGTGTATAAGGCGACCTGGGATGAAGCACATCACAAGTGCGCACACAAACCTTATATATGCAATAAAAATATGTTTATCTTGCGTTGCTTTTTCAAGATGATTGGTCGCGTGTGTAACTCCAGCACATGTTGCCATTTTGTGTTTACACGGTACGACACCAAATTGGTGCCCGTAAAATAAAATTTATTTATGAAGTAATAACATATAAGAGACAATGGTGAGTAATTTTATCGCCAATTAACTATGTTGTAACTAACTAGGCTTATGTTTGCTTCACATTCAGCGTGTTTATTCCACAATCACTTATACACACCATCTCCAACAGTTGTTAATACAACTGTAAAACAGCGGGAATTGATTTCAGCTTCACCGGTTATCACATGTTAGGTCACATGTGCAATATGCAGATGTTTACCAGTACTTACGGCTCTCTACTCACGGATGTTGATTGTTTTACCGTGTCAGCTGGTTTGACAATCTGCATCGAGGCGAGGGTCATTTCAACTTTATTTGCAGAAATTATTAAGCTTTATTCAAGGAAAAGAGATACAAATCATGTTTATGTATGGAAATAGTTATAGGAACAGTTATTTAGGACAAAATGCGAAGTTTTATTGTCAAATGCTGGGCTGGCTATCGGAAGCCGGTTGACATCGCCAGTGGAAAAAAATGTGAGATCTTCGACTCCATGTATAAGACGCCCCCCCTTCTTAACCCCCTCATTTTAGGTACGAAAAACTCGCCTTATACACAGCGATATACGGTAGTTAAATTTGTACACATAAGTACAACATCATACATTTTTTAGTAATAAGCCATAACAAATTGTCATGTGAAGTAATAATCAATACAAGAAATATGTAATAATAACATTGGGTCCCCCATGGCATGTATGGAGACCATCGTGACTGAACGTCCTACAAGATGAGTATCTCCTCATTCATCAACGAATGAATCAATCATCAAACATGTTGCTACTTCGCAACAATCTTAAATAGTCTAATCAATTGTGAACATTTGAATCCAGTGCTCTGTTCTTTAAGAAAATGACTGATTAAATAGAAAAAAAACTTGTCCTAGCTTAAGGTTAACAAATTACATCATTTCAAGAATCCAGCACAACTTCAAAAACGGCAGCGCCAAGGGGCTATATACAGTCAAATCTCGTTAATCTGACACTTGTTAATCCGACAATCGGCTTTATCCGACACTAATGATGGGAACCGATTAAATCAGTGCTATTTAGACCCGTTAATCCGACAATCTCTCACTCCGACTCCGACACACCTAATTTGCAACGAATTACCGAAATCACTTATTAATCAGTCTCATTAATCCGACCCAATGATCAGCGTACTCTGTGGTCAAACAGTCAATAACAGTTGTTTTGTGTTGAGCTTTAGAGATTGCATGATTAGAAAACATAGTCCCCTAACAATGTAACATATCAATATGAATATTTCATTTATATTTTTTTATTATGTGTTTGTATCATTATATATTGTGTAGTTGTGATTTTCAATCACGAACATTTATTATTTATACTACTTAATTTTGTTTATCCGACATAATCATATGCAACCAACCATGTCGGATAAACGGGACTTGACTGTAGGGTCATAGGTGAAATTGGATTTAACGTCGCGTCCAAGATTATTGCACTTATATAGCGACGTGCATGCACGTGTATGTGTGGTGTGGCTGCTTGTACTAGTCCGGACTGATGCCGATTTATAGTGCTAGCTCACTGAGATACCATGCCGCAGTTTAACATGAATACCCCACTCATACACAGTATACTGACTCCGAGCCGACCAGTCCTTGTTTTAGCCCCTTAATGCCGAGCGCCAGACAGGGTAACAACAAGTACAATCTTTTAACGTCTTTTTGTATGAAGCGGCCCGGGATCGAACCCTGGACCTTCCGCTCTCCGGGCGGACGCTCTACCACAAGACCACGGAGGCGGTCAGTAGGGTCATAGAGTGCATACAATCTTCTTGAGAGGAAGAGTCGTACAGGAAGAATCTGAAGTTATTTCATGGTTGCAGACTGTGTATATTTTGGCCACCCACCTTGCTGAAGTCCCCTCCCAGCAGGTTGAGCAGCCCCTCAGTGAACGTAGCGGCGTGGAACAGATGTCTCGATGTCAGCTTGAACGACACTTCCTTCTGGACCAGGCCTGAAATACACGACAATCAAGCACTGACTTTCATTTCACGTGAGTTCATTGGAATATGGATCTTCACAGTGAGTGAGTGAGTTGTGTTTAACGCCAATTTTAACAGTATTCCAGTTATATCGCGGCGTGTCAGCTTAATGTGGGAGGAAAGCCCGAATTGATGCAGGTCTCAGACGTTTATCACTTCGGTGAAACCCACGAGCACGGGTATGGTGCTGACAAACCTAGAAACACAATCGGGGCGAACCAGGATTTGAACCCACAATCATAGGTTTCTGGCGTGTCCATGGGACGCAACTCTGCACAGCGAATCGCGGCGTCTTAGACGACTGGGCCACCCGTGCCCCCGGATCTTCTCAGAATGAGAGCTAAACTGTATAAACGTTGGAGCTTGCAACATTCATGAAATATTTGGCCCTCACTCTATGAAGGTTCACACTCCAATGAATTCACATTTTTATATCCAAAATCTTTCTTCCAACTCTTTCATTTTTTAAGGAGAAATAACCAGTTTTAATAACCAGTACAGCTTTCCAGCTTCAATGGCAGAGAGATAGGTGATGTCATTTAAAGTGATGTCATGGTAATGATGATGTCATAATGGTTTGCAAAGTCTTGTGATGCAGTTCATTTCAGTGATATCTCTCACCTCCTAGGGGATATCGCTTGATCTTACCCTAGCAACATCTCCTGTGGAAGCCAGTTTGGGAAGATAAATTATTACCTTGCATCAAATCTCCAACACCGAACACTTTATGAACGGAACAGTTCATTGTTTAGACTTGACTTGACTTACCCAGAACTCCCTGCAGTGTCATCTGAATCATGAATGCCTCTATCAGACTAGCAGCATTGTGTGAGGAGTTCTCCTTCTGCAACACTAACACAGTAGATGGCGCTGTAGCCTCCAGTTGTCTCCCTTGGTTGGTGTCAGCAAGGTCATCAGCTGAGTTTGTTCCAGGACAGAAGACATGTGCCTCTGTTGATGAAATACCTTGAGAAGAAACAGACATTTACAAGAAGGGGAGACAACTGTGTGTGACATATAGAAGAAAATGTGTGTTACACCTTCATTTACAGGGTGAGTGAGTGAGTTGGGTTTAACGCCGCTTTTAACATTATTCCAGTTATATCACGGTGTGTCAGCCTAATGTGGGAGGAAAGCCCGAAGTGATGCAGGTCTTAGATCTTTACCACTTCGGTGAAACGGGTATGGTGCTGACAAACCTAGAAACATAATCGGGGTGAACCGGGATTCAAACCCACAATCATAGGTTTCTGGCGTGCCCAAGGGACGCAACTCTGCACAGCGAATCGCGGCGCCTTAGACGACTGGGCAACCCGTGCCCCCTTCAATATCAGAATAACTCAAAACCTCTTTTTCTGGTTAAGTCAACCTCAGCTGTGGTAACGGTAACTCTGTGCTGCTCCCTAAAAACGATTTTGATAGACTTGTCCCTACACAGACATACAGGATGTTCCATAGTGTTTTCATGATTTAGAGTGAGTGAGTGTGGTTTTATGCCGCTTTTAGCAATATTCCAGCAATATCACGGCAGGGGACACCAGAAATGAGCTTCACACATTGTACCCATGTCGGGAATCGAACCCAGGTCTTCGGAATGACAAGAGAACACCTTAACCACAAGGCTACTCGACCCTCCTCGTGTCCTCAGTGTTTTTGACAGGCCAAGCCACGCTTGTTTTCTGCCAGATAGGACAGGAATATCCACAGCGCTAGACAGAAATACTTCCAGCTGATTGGCTGGTGTGTTCTCATGACAAGTACGTATTGTGACAGCTATCGATAAAAAGATGAGTTTGTATTCATAAAAGTCTCATTTAATTCTGAAAGTCATTGTGTCAGTTATGACTCGTGTCAAAAACCTTTACGAGTATTTCAGGAAATTATTGCCTCAAATACGCAGGAATTACTATCAAATAAAACCCTGAAACTAATCTGTGTAAGAAGGGGCTTTATATTGGATATTTTTGTTCATCATCATCATTTATTGTATTCAGGCCATAGGCCCATATACATATAATAATATTATATTTATACAATTTTGTACAAATATAAACATGCAGACTTATATATACAATTTTGTGCAAAATAAATCGCATCACAACACAACAAGGGGAGATTAAAGCATTTGATTAATAAAGGCAAATAACCTCAAGAATAATTAAACATCATTTGTACAAAGACGGTTGCGAAGTCGTAAACCATAATTAATGTATAGGATAGTATTCTTTTGTTGCTCGTTAGATATTTCATCTAAACGGAGGAGCTTGATTAGTGTATTGATGTTTTGGGGTAAACCTTGGAAATATTTTGTTCTGAGCAATTCATAACATGGACAGATAAGTATAAAATGGTATTCATTTTCAGTAAATGTGGGACAAAAAGGACAAAAACGCAATTTTTTTTAAACTGAGGAAAAACGACCCGTATTACATACTAAATTGTTCAAACCTAATCTAAAATGTGTAAAACACACTCTTAGTTTTCTGTCTGTTATTTCTGTTAAGTACTGTTGTTGACGTGTCCAACATATCTCTGCTTGTGTATATTCTAGCATGTCTTAGAGGAAATTTCTTGTTCAGGAGATTTCAGAGTGAATACAACATGCAGTTCACCCCTTTTACCAAGTTAATACTTAACAATGTACCTAAAGCACTTGCTCTCTTTGTTGTCAGCTTGAGTCTACGCAGCCCATGTATCTGATAGCCCCTCCTCTGACACGTGGACATGATGAGGCCGTAGCTGCGGGGGGGGACCAGAGGGGACAGGAGGAGGAAGATGTCACTCTTGTGGGTGGCTGTCAAAGTGGCGGGGGGACGATGAGCCAAAAGTTCATCTCTGTCCTCTTTTGCATCTTTTGGTTCAGCAGATCCTCGTTTTCCTTTCCTCTCTTTTGGACTTCCACTTCTGAGATGTTCCTTCCTGGTGTAAGGTGTCCCGACATCAACCACTCCGCCAGAAGGAACTCTGCCTCCGAACCAACGGGTCAGCTCCGAGTGGACCCGGCCTTGGTTCCGCGGACAGAAGAGGAGACATTCATCTCTGGAAGCACCACCGAACTGAGCACAGAGGGACATAGGGTCCGTCCGCCTTGCTAAAGCAGGATCTGAAGGTCCGACAGCGTCCAGCCAGATTGACCGAGCAAATGTTCCACGCAGTGCAATAGCAAGAACAGGCCCTATATTGTTCAGAAGGTCAAGGGTAGACTGTTTTTCACTGTTATCACATTCTTTCAAATTGAGCAATTCAGCAGTAGGATAGAGGAGTCGGACTCCACTGAGATCAAGACCCTCCTGGAGGACCCGGTTCAGGATTCCCATCAGGGCACCAGGTTCACGGAATATCTTCTTGTATATCAAGGACATTGTGTTCTGGGTTTCATAGCTCACGTCACTGTCATGAAGAGGGACGTCAAAGTGTCCGTCATCACTGTCAACTGTTTGCCAGAAGAAGCCTACGGGTGTGTTAAACACTTTGCTAGCAGCTGTCTGATCTGGGTTGAGGTGGATGTACGTGGAGAGAGGCTTGGTGGTGACGTTGGGCAGGGGGGGTTGGTAGGTGTAGGATGCACACAGCTCTGGGTCGTCCTTATTGGCACACGTGACGTCCATGGAGACGAAGGCTTGGAGCCAGGGACACACTGTGTGGAGAGTGTTGGTGGACAGGAACTTGCTGACATGCTGCATGAAGGGGGAGCTTCCCTTTACTTCATCTCGAACCTGGAAAAGAATTCCTTTCTTTATTTCTTAATACATTTCAAAGACGATTTTGCAGGAGGCAAAAATTTATGGAATTAGAACATTTTTATAATCTTATCATCCTCTAATACAAAATTGTTTTCTTTTCTTCCATATCAATGCAAAATTTACCAAAAATCTAAATAAGAGTTTGCCACTAACGTGGCTATATCCCCTGCCCCTGTTGCAGATTTTATGACATAATTAAATCTAAACAAACCATAACCTTTTTTTACCCGAGGTGGAACTTGTCATGGAAATTGTAAAAAAAAAGAAGACTTTGGAACCTAAGTCCATCTTGTTGCCATGGAAACGTAAAAAATAAAAATTTCTAAAATTTCTAAATAGCAAAAAGCACCAGTTCAGTATGTTCCTGACAGACCTGCAAAGTTTGATGAAAAAATATTGAACGGTTTATGAGTTACGCTCGGGAAACGAAACGTGACGGACGGACCTACGGACGGACGGAGCCCATTTCTATATCCACCGTCAACTTAGTTGGGCGGGGGATAAAAAAGTTTTTGGGATGACAATCAGTCAACTTCCTAGAAAAAAACAACAAATCTCAATCCTTCATTAACTGAAGTACCTCAAATCTGTAACTGGCTGGATGATGGAGACCTCTTGAATCCTGCAGTGTGAGGGGCAGAGGCTATTTGTGTTTAGGTGAAATGGGACTTATGTCATGTTCAAAATTAAGTTACCTAACCAACAGAGTTACAATGCCGCAGTTTAACATGAATATCCCACTCAGACACAGTATACTTACTCCAAGCCGACCAGTCCTTGTTTTAGTCCCTTAATGCCGAGCGCCAGACAGTGTAACAACTTGTATGTTTATCAACATCTTTTGGTATGACATACCCGGGGATCGAAACACCGACCACTGGACACTCTATCCACTAGACTATGGAGGGGTGAGAGGTTATTTGAAGGAAATTTATGATACAGCATACGACTGATAATTGATCCGGAAGGGGAATCCAGCAAATCAACTCTACAAGACAGGCACACCACTATCTCCCAAGGACAATAGCGTGCACCAGCTTGGCATCTCTTTTAATGCTTCATCAAGGCTATCAGACACATCCAAGTGAATGATTTGTTTTGATTGTTTGTTGTTTAACGCTGCACTCAGCAATATTCCAGTTATATGACGGCTGTCTGTAAATAATCGAGTCTGGACCAGACAATCCACTGATTGACCTTATGAACATCGATCGACGCATTTGGGATAGATGACATGCATCAACCAAGTCAACGAGCATGACCACCCAATCCCGTTAGTCGCCTTTTAAGACAAGCATAGTCGCCTGTTACAGCAAGCATGGGTTGCTAAAGACCTACTCTACTCCGGAATCTTCACGGGTGAATGAAGTGAGCCAGGGTATGAAGAGGAATGATCGACAAAGTCCACAAGAGGATGTTTGAACCAATACCCGACAACACCGATACACAGGGCAGAGGTGAACGGAATAAAGGTTTGGGACACCGCATGCACGGCTGCACCTTTCAGCGACTTAGATGTACCTAAAATCTGTACTGGCCATATGACGGAGAGCTCTTGAAATTTAGGATCCGGGATGATTATTGAACACTCCTTTCAACTGGGAATGTAACTGTTTTGTAACATTGATGCTCAGTTTGATGCAAGCTTATTCACACATACAGACATGATATATGTACAGTAAGTCATGAGATTGAGGGAGTGAGTGAGTATGGTTTTACGCCGCTTTTAGCAATATTCTAGCAATATCACGGCGGGGGGACACCAGAAATGGGCTTCACACATTGTACCCATGTCGGGAATCGAACCTGGGTCTTTGTCGTGACGAGGAAACGCTTTAACCACTAGGCTACCCGACCGCCGCGTAAGTCCTGACAAGGTGGAATAATAGGCAAAGATGATTCCTAGACTGCTATTAGTTTTCTGGAATCAGGAAGTTCAGAACCTGCTGTAGGGCCCTGTACAGCTAAATGAATAACCATCCCAGACAAAAGTTATTACGATTTTGCTAATTCCATTCTGTATTTCAAAAATAAAAAATGGTAACATTTATTAATGTTGTCAACAACATAATACGTATGGCTTTTTTAAAAAAAAAAGCTGTAAAAAAACTAACTTTCATGCAAAGCAGATCTATTAATCCTGATGGATGGTGTAAACACATAGTTTTGTATCTTAGCTGCTTACCTTTGATTTTTTAGATTTGAGAGAGACAAACTTGGCATCGAAGTCTTTAGCTGGAGACACAGCAATGGCAAGACAGAGCTGTTCCTCCATCCACATCTGCTGGAGGCCCACAACATGGAAGGGAGGGAAGAACATGGCACTGTCTGTGGGTTGTGCTGCCCCCTGGAGGAAGGTGAAGTCATCAGGGACAAGGGAGAGAAGCCAGGTCAGTAGAGTGGTGTAGCTAGCAGAGAGACCACACCCTGAAATCAGAAACTCTATTGCAAAAATCTTTCCTGAGGTTGAAAAGGTCTCCTGTTTTCAGATTCATTTTTTTTCAGTGTAATCTCTCTTTAAGGTACCTGCGTTGCGGTGTAGTGAGTGAGTGAGTATGGTTTTACGCCGCTTTTAGCAATATTCCAACAATATCACGACGGGGGACACCAGACATGGGCTTCACACATTGAGCCCATGTTGGGAATCGAACCCGGGTCTTCGGTGTGACGACCTTAAAAATGGCAATATTCTAATAGTCCTTTCGATACCTGAACTATTGGGCAGAATGGCAAGGACCCAGGGGTAGGGTTGGTTGGTTGGTTGGTTGGTTTGTTGTTTACCGCCGCACTCAGCAATATTCCAGCTTTATGACGGAGGTCTGTAAATAATCGAGTCTGGACCAGACAATCCAGTGGTTGATATCATGAGCATCGATCCACGTAATTGGGATCTATGACATGCATCAACGAAGTCAGCGAGTCTGACCACCCGATCCTGTTAGTCGCCTTTCACGACAAGCATAGCCACGTGTATATAACGCACTCGTGGGTTATATGCACCCTTAATTATGGGCAACTAAATTCTGGAAAAATATATCTGTCGTATATAAACAGTTCAGACCGTAAGCATAAACCACGAAAATTTATCTTTTCAACCAAAATAATATTCTTATAAGAGCCCCCTATTTCTAATTTTGAGGGCGCCCTGGACGCTTATTATGTCGAATACGGTAATATGGAATTTGAGCCCATGATGACCAGACTTGAATTTGGTCCATGGTTCATACAAAATTTGAGCCACAACTGTTTAAGGCAGCCATATTCAAGGCCTCTTCAAGCCTGTGTGAACCTTGGCAACACAACAATGCACAGTGAGTTGCACCATCTTACACCACTTGTCCACCTGTACCCTACAAACAGAATAACACATATCACCTTATACTTGTCCTGTACTAGATTCATCAATAACCAACTAACCAGTGTCCACGCTTTTATTGGTCCTGTTTCGATGCAGCACAATTTCTCCATCACTGGACAAGTTGACAGTCAGCAGCACACACTCCTGGTCAGGGGAGATAACTCCAGGCAAGGTCTTGGGAGGGGGCTCATACGATGCATCCTTTAAACACAAACCCGATGCATCTGAATACTTGAGATGCATCTCTTAAACACAAACCCGGTACATCTAAATACTTGAGATGCATCCTTTAAACATAAACCAGGTAAATCTGAATACTCTAGATGCATCTCTTAAACACAAACCCGGTACATCTAAATACTTGAGATGCATCCTTTAAACATAAACCAGGTAAATCTGAATACTCTAGATGCATCATTTAAACACAAACCAGGTACATCTAAATACTTGAGATGCACCCTTTAGCACAAACCAGGTACATCTGAATACTCTAGATGCATCTCTTAAACACAAACCCGATGCATCTGAATACTTGAGATGCATCTCTTAAACACAAACCCGGTACATCTAAATACTTGAGATGCATCCTTTAAACATAAACCAGGTAAATCTGAATACTCTAGATGCATCTTTTAAACACAAACCAGTTACATCTAGATACTTGAGATGCACCCTTTAAGCACAAACCAGGTACATCTGAATATTTGAGATGCACTATTTAAGCACAAAACAGGTACATCTGAATATTTGAGATGTACTATTTAAGCACAAAACAGGTACATCTGAAAGTTTGATGCCTTCTTTCAACACAAACCAGGTAAACCTGAATACTTGACTGGTCCTACTAACGAACCTTAGAGTCTACCACTGCCAGGTACAAAAAGTATGTTCTCCATTACAGACTGCAAGCAACATTATACATCTATCAAACACTTTGGCTAAAGGTAGTCGAAATACTCCTATAAATTGTATATTTATATACTCATCCTATCTCAAACTATGGATTTCTTCTCAGATCCTGTGCAAAAACGTGCTTGAACAAAGCTTCCAGCTTCTTAAAAACAATTCACCAAACACATCCAAGCATCACCATGGTTACTGTCCAACAACTGCGCCATGTACATGATCCCGACCCTACACGACCTGATCACGTGTCCATCAATGCCACATCATTCTCTTCCGTCAAAGCTAAAAGGCTAGAGGAACTGTGATGTGGGGATGGTTAGGTGGGCTTATAACATGTGAGATAGGATAAGTAAAAAACTATACAATTGTTAGGAAAATTTCCAATTTTTTAACTTTATCCTATTTCACACTATGCATTTATCCCATGGTTGGAAGGTGGACGCAGATACCCTAGCCTGTAAGACTACAACCATGAGACAACACGAGGAAGTTCAAAACAGTGAAATAAATAAAATATTTAGAACACTGCCTCGTGTCGTACAATGACAAGAACTCATGCGAGGGAAAACACACCCAAAATTGGTGAAACAATCCTGATGCGCTAATCGGACGTAACAGCATCAGATCGGTAGGCACATGCAGAAAGTGTTTTCAGGTACAGCATACAATTGTTAATTGATCCGGAAGGGGACTCCAGCCAATCCATTCTACAAGACAGGTACACCACAATCTCCCAAGGACAATAGCATGCACCAGCTCTGCATCTCTATTAATGCTTCATCAAGGCTATCAGACACACCCAAGTGAATGAAGCAAGCCAGGACAAGGAGAGGAATGACCAAGAACGTCCACAAGAGGATGTTTGGACCAATACCCGACAACACAGATACACAGGGCAAAGGTGAGCAGAATAAAGGTTCAGGACATCGTATGCACTACCGCACCTTGCAGCAACTTCAAAGTTGATAACCATAAGGTCTCTTCAGACGAGCGATTCGACTCTCCAATTGGGTACTCGGTCTGGGAAGATAGGAGCTAAAGTTCCAAGACTTATTCTGAACATACAGCGAGCAGGACCAGGTACACACATCAGTTATCTGTGCCTGTGTGCAGTGGAGTGGAGCAGGACCAGGTACACACATCAGTTATCTGTGCTTGTGTGCAGTGGAGTGGAGCAGGACCGGGTACACACATCAGTTATCTGTGCCTGTGTGCAGTGGAGTGGAGCAGGACTGGGTACACACATCAGTTATCTGTGCTTGTGTGCAGTGGAGCGGAGCAGGACTGGGTACACACATCAGTTATCTGTGCCTGTGTGCAGTGGAGTGGAGCAGGACCGGGTACACACATCAGTTATCAGTTATCTGTGCCTGTGTGCAGTGGAGTGGAGCAGGACTGGGTACACACATCAGTTATCTGTGCTTGTGTGCAGTGGAGTGGAGCAGGACTGGGTACACACATCAGTTATCTGTGCCTGTGTGCAGTGGAGTGGAGCAGGACCGGGTACACACATCAGTTATCTGTGCCTGTGTGCAGTGGAGTGGAGCAGGACTGGGTACACACATCAGTTATCTGTGCTTGTGTGCAGTGGAGCGGAGCAGGACCGGGTACACACATCAGTTATCTGTGCCTGTGTGCAGTGGAGCGGAGCAGGACCGGGTACACACATCAGTTATCTGTGCTTGTGTGCAGTGGAGCGGAGCAGGACTGGGTACACACATCAGTTATCTGTGCTTGTGTGCAGTGGAGCAGAGCAGGACTGGGTACACACATCAGTTATCTGTGCCTGTGTGCAGTGGAGCGGAGCAGGACTGGGTACACACATCAGTTATCTGTGCTTGTGTGCAGTGGAGCGGAGCAGGACCGGGTACACACATCAGTTATCTGTGCCTGTGTGCAGTGGAGCGGAGCAGGACCGGGTACACACATCAGTTATCTGTGCCTGTGTGCAGTGGAGCGGAGCAGGACCGGGTACACACATCAGTTATCTGTGCCTGTGTGCAGTGGAGTGGAGCAGGACTGGGTACACACATCAGTTATCTGTGCTTGTGTGCAGTGGAGTGGAGCAGGACTGGGTACACACATCAGTTATCTGTGCTTGTGTGCAGTGGAGTGGAGCAGGACTGGGTACACACATCAGTTATCTGTGCCTGTGTGCAGTGGAGCAGAGCAGGAGCAGGTACACACATCAGTTATCTGTGCTTGTGTGCAGTGGAGTGGAGCAGGACTGGGTACACACATCAGTTATCTGTGCCTGTGTGCAGTGGAGCGGAGCAGGACTGGGTACACACATCAGTTATCTGTGCTTGTGTGCAGTGGAGCGGAGCAGGACCGGGTACACACATCAGTTATCTGTGCTTGTGTGCAGTGGAGCGGAGCAGGACTGGGTACACACATCAGTTATCTGTGCCTGTGTGCAGTGGAGCGGAGCAGGACCGGGTACACACATCAGTTATCTGTGCTTGTGTGCAGTGGAGTGGAGCAGGACTGGGTACACACATCAGTTATCTGTGCCTGTGTGCAGTGGAGCGGAGCAGGACTGGGTACACACATCAGTTATCTGTGCCTGTGTGCAGTGGAGCGGAGCAGGACCGGGTACACACATCAGTTATCTGTGCCTGTGTGCAGTGGAGCGGAGCAGGACCGGGTACACACATCAGTTATCTGTGCCTGTGTGCAGTGGAGCGGAGCAGGACTGGGTACACACATCAGTTATCTGTGCTTGTGTGCAGTGGAGCAGAGCAGGACTGGGTACACACATCAGTTATCTGTGCTTGTGTGCAGTGGAGCGGAGCAGGACTGGGTACACACATCAGTTATCTGTGCCTGTGTGCAGTGGAGCAGAGCAGGACTGGGTACACACATCAGTTATCTGTGCCTGTGTGCAGTGGAGCGGAGCAGGACTGGGTACACACATCAGTTATCTGTGCTTGTGTGCAGTGGAGCGGAGCAGGACCGGGTACATACATCAGTTATCTGTGCCTGTGTGCAGTGGAGCGGAGCAGGACCGGGTACACACATCAGTTATCTGTGCCTGTGTGCAGTGGAGCGGAGCAGGACCGGGTACACACATCAGTTATCTGTGCTTGTGTGCAGTGGAGCGGAGCAGGACCGGGTACACACATCAGTTATCTGTGCCTGTGTGCAGTGGAGCGGAGCAGGACCGGGTACACACATCAGTTATCTGTGCCTGTGTGCAGTGGAGCGGAGCAGGACCGGGTACACACATCAGTTATCTGTGCCTGTGTGCAGTGGAGCAGAGCAGGACTGGGTACACACATCAGTTATCTGTGCCTGTGTGCAGTGGAGCAGAGCAGGACTGGGTACACACATCAGTTATCTGTGCCTGTGTGCAGTGGAGCGGAGCAGACCAGGTACACACATCAGTTATCTGTGCTTGTGTGCAGTGGAGCGGAGCAGACCAGGTACACACATCAGTTATCTGTGCTTGTGTGCAGTGGAGCGGAGCAGGACTGGGTACACACATCAGTTATCTGTGCTTGTGTGCAGTGGAGCGGAGCAGGACTGGGTACACACATCAGTTATCTGTGCTTGTGTGCAGTGGAGCGGAGCAGGACTGGGTACACACATCAGTTATCTGTGCTTGTGTGCAGTGGAGCAGAGCAGGACTGGGTACACACATCAGTTATCTGTGCCTGTGTGCAGTGGAGCGGAGCAGGACCGGGTACACACATCAGTTATCTGTGCCTGTGTGCAGTGGAGCGGAGCAGGACCGGGTACACACATCAGTTATCTGTGCCTGTGTGCAGTGGACAGCTGCTGTGCGAACTGATGAAAGCACTGGAAGTCTGTGACGGAGATGTCATGGAGATTGTGGGAAGCGAAGAACATGCCTGACTTAAAAAAACACCCTTCCATAATGGCGAGAGCGAGCAGATGCCACGTGGGGCCATGTAGAAGCGACTGCGCGGGTGTCTTGAGGATTGGATGCAACAGGCGGAGGCAATCCAGCAAAGGTAAGTGAGTATGGGTTAACGCCAATTTTAGCAATATTCCAGCAATATAACGGCGGGGGACACCAGAAATGGGCTTCACACATTGTACACATGTCGGGACTCGAACCCGGGTCTTCGGCGTGACGAGCGAGCGCTTTAACCACTAGGCTACCCGACCGCCCCCCAGCAAAGGTGAAAGCCCGTAGGATAATCGAGTGGAGCCAGAAGGAGATCGTGAAACGTGGACGGGGAAGGCTGCTGTTGAGAGCAGAATGAAAAGTCTCTTCCTGGAGCGCCGAAGTGGTCTTGCAGCAGTCAAGTACATTTGTAGTGCTCACACCGGACATAAGGAAAGATCTTCCAGGTCATCAGGTCCTAGGATACATGCCAGCGACAGGATCAGAAACAGTCGATCTGGTTGTCCCTTGGACTCTGTTAACATCCAGAGCATGGAACACGTGCTGCAGTTGCAAGGTCCAGTACAAAACTGTCTTGAAAGTGATCAACTAGAGTGAGTGAGTGAGTGAGTTGGGTTTAACGCCGCTTTTAACAGTATTCCAGTTATATCGCGGCGTGTCAGCTTAATGTGGGAGGAAAGCCCGAAGTGATGCAGGTCTCAGACGTTTACCACTTCGGTGAAACCCACGAGCACGGGTATGGTGCTGACAAACCTAGAAACATAATCGGGGCGAACCGGGTTTCGAACCCACAATCATAGGTTTCTGGCGTGTCCAGGGACGCAACTCTGCACAGCGAATCGCGGCGTCTTAGACGACTGGGCCCCCCGTGCCCCCGTGATCAACTAGAACTCTTTGTCAGCAAATGCATATCCGGCCGAAGTCAAATGATGATGGATGACGTATAGATCCCAGATGAGAGGCCAGAAACGGGAGAATTTGTTTGCCATTTTGTTGAACTGGACTACTGAAAATTAGCAGCTGTGGAAGCCTTCGTTCCAGTGGTAGTAGCAATGACGGAGTTGATCGCTGCAAGAAAAGTGGCCAAAGAAGATCCCTAAAGCTTCCGTATAGATCTTAACAGATGGAGGTAATTGGCTATCTGTTGCAGAGAAGCAGTGGTGGAAGTGAAGATGTCATGAGTGTGACAAGGGCCTCAAACGCCTTCCACTTGTGGTCGTAGAGGGTCTTAGTAGAGGCTCGTCACGATATGGCTGAAATATTGCCGATGTGACGTTAAATATTAACTCACTCACTCACTCTTAGTAGAGGAATGATGAGCCTCTCTGATGGTCTTGACCACTCGGGAAACAAAACGTAGACATTGAGGTACTCCCACGAGATGACCAGAACGTTATGGTCCTGTGCCTGAGGATCTAGGATGGGAGAAATGAACCTTTGGAGCTGAGCGTTGAACCTGGAGACACCATCCCGTTGGTGATGATTGTTCAGATCGGGATAAGGAGTCGGCTACGACATTGTGGATCCTGTGTATGTGCTGGACTCCGATCTGAATGGTCAAGGATTTGATCAATCCAGGAAGTAGAGCATCAGGGACATGGACTTGGTGGAGCCCATTTGATGACAAAGGAAGGAAGTCTGGATCGGGAGCAATCTGTGGTAAATCTTTGTGAGATCAATAAGTCAAATGTTGATCTTGAACTCGATCTGGGGAGAGGTTGGAATTGTCACCCTCGATTTGGGAGCGAAGTGGTGAGTTCTACACCAACCAGAATACATGAAAGCACTGGAGATGAGGAAAGCGTGAGGGATGAGAAAAGCACGGGAGATGAGGAAAGCACAGGAGATGAGGAAAGCACTCGAGATGAGGAAAGCGCGAAGGATGAGGAAAGCGCGAAGGATGAGCAAAGCACTGGAGATGAGGAAACACAGGAGATGAGGAAAGCACTGGAGATGAGGAAAGCACTGGAGATGAGGAAAGCGCGAAGGATGAGCAAAGCATTGGAGATGAGGAAACACAGGAGATGAGGAAAGCACTGGAGATGAGGAAAGCGCGAAGGATGAGCAAAGCACGGGAGATGAGGAAAGCATGGGAGATGAGGAAAGAGCAAGGATTGAGGAAAGCACGGGAGATGAGGAAAGCACGGGAGATGAGGAAAGCACTGGAGATGAGGAAAGCGCAAGGGATGAGGAAAGCACGGGAGATGAGGAAAGCACGGGAGATGAGGAAAGCACTGGAGACGAGGAAAGCGCGAGGGATGAGCAAAGCACGGGAGATGAGGAAAGCACTGGAGATGAGAAAAGCGCAAGGGATGAGGAAAGCACGGGAGATGAGGAAAGCGCGGGAGATGAGGAAAGCACGGGAGATGAGGAAAGCACTGGAGATGAGGAAAGCACTGGAGATGAGGAAAGCACTGGAGACGAGGAAAGCGCGAGGGATGAGCAAAGCACGGGAGATGAGGAAAGCACGGGAGATGAGGAAAGCACGGGAGATGAGGAAAGCGCGAGGGATGAGCAAAGCACGGGAGATGAGCAAAGCGCGGGAGATGAGGAAAGCACTGGAGACGAGGAAAGCGCGAGGGATGAGCAAAGCACGGGAGATGAGGAAAGCACTGGAGATGAGAAAAGCGCAAGGGATGAGGAAAGCACGGGAGATGAGGAAAGCGCGGGAGATGAGGAAAGCACGGGAGATGAGGAAAGCACTGGAGATGAGGAAAGCACTGGAGATGAGGAAAGCACTGGAGACGAGGAAAGCGCGAGGGATGAGCAAAGCACGGGAGATGAGGAAAGCACGGGAGATGAGGAAAGCACGGGAGATGAGGAAAGCGCGAGGGATGAGCAAAGCACGGGAGATGAGCAAAGCGCGGGAGATGAGGAAAGCGCAAGGGATGAGCAAAGCGCGGGAGATGAGGAAAGCGCGGGAGATGAGGAAAGCACAGGAGATGAGGAAAGCACGGGAGATGAGGAAAGAGCAAGGATTGAGGAAAGCACGGGAGATGAGGAAAGCACGGGAGATGAGGAAAGCACTGGAGATGAGGAAAGCGCAAGGGATGAGGAAAGCACGGGAGATGAGGAAAGCACTGGAGACGAGGAAAGCACTGGAGATGAGGAAAGCACTGGAGATGAGGAAAGCGCAAGGGATGAGGAAAGCACGGGAGATGAGGAAAGCACTGGAGACGAGGAAAGCACTGGAGACGAGGAAAGCGCGAGGGATGAGCAAAGCACGGGAGATGAGGAAAGCACTGGAGATGAGAAAAGCGCAAGGGATGAGGAAAGCACGGGAGATGAGGAAAGCACGGGAGATGAGGAAAACACTGGAGACGAGGAAAGCGCGAGGGATGAGCAAAGCACGGGAGATGAGGAAAGCACGGGGGATGAGGAAAGCATGGGAGATGAGGAAAGCGCGAGGGATGAGGAAAGCACGGGAGATGAGGAAAGCGCGGGAGATGAGCAAAGCGCAAGGGATGAGCAAAGCGCGGGAGATGAGGAAAGCACGGGAGATGAGGAAAGCACGGGAGATGAGGAAAGCACGGGAGATAAGGAAAGCACAGGAGATGAGGAAAGCGCGGGAGTTGAGGAAAGCATGGGAGATGAGGAAAGCACGGGAGTTGAGGAAAGAGTGGTGGTTGATGGAAGACACTAGGATCGTCAAAGGCTGGATGAAACATCTGTAGAGAGAAACCCGCGGGTGTCAAAGTTCCTGGTTGCTCTAGCATAGACGCACTCGGGACAGACGTTAGAATCAACAACTAAAAAAGAAACCAAAATGGATTCTCTAATATTCCAAAAACATGTCTCCAGTGTGGCGATGAGATAGGTATGATTTCTGTGCAAGGGATCACATACTTGGCCCAGTTGTTGGGCAGTAACCATGGTGATACTCGGGTGTGTTTGGCTGAATTGTTTCTAGAAGCTTGAATCTTTGTTCAAGCATGTTTCCACATAGGATCGCAAAGGAAAGAAGAAATCCATAGTGTGAGATGGGATATGTTTAAAAATTAAGCGATGTATGTTTCAGTTGAGTTAGGAACATTTCTTTCCCAAAGACAATTGATATAATGGCTATCATAACTGATTTAATGAAAATCAAATATTCTTTGAAGCCTCAAGGTAACAAAAAAAAAATCCAAATGTTATTTCTCTGAATTTCATGTTTTGGGAAAGATATCAGGCTCCCTTTCCACAACTCTGTCTTTGTGCTAAGGGAATCATTCAGAGTGTAAACTACATACATAAGAAAACATGCTTACAATATCAAATATGACTGGTGTCTGTTCAGCACAGGGGTGGCGGCCACTAACAGAGGCAGTTGGTTGAACAGCTTCAATTCTCTTCCCCATCCTCAGCCGCGATTCTCTCTCCTTTTCTCGCTGTTCTCTCATTTTCCTAATTAGAAATATGGTCATCATAATCAAGTGGCAATAAGATTTGTTTGTTTGTTTGATTGTTGTTTAACGCTGCACAGTATTCCAGCTATATGATGGCAGTCTGTAAAATAATCAATTCTGGACCAGACAATCCAGTGATTGATATCATGAGCATTGATCCACGAAATTGAGATCAATGACATGTATCAACCAAGTCAGCAAGTCTGACCACCCAATCCTGTGAGTCGCCTTTTACGACAAGCATAGTCACCTTTTACGGCAAGTATGGGTTGCTGAAGACCTATTCTACCCCCGTATCTTCACGGGTCAGTGGCAATAAGATGTCAGTTTGTCCATGTATGTTGGAGTGAGTGAGTTGGGTTTAACGCCGCTTTTAACAGTATTCCAGTTATATCACGGCGTGTCAGCTTGATGTGGGAGGAAAGCCCAAAGTGATGCAGGTCTCAGACGTTTACCACTTTGACGAAACCCACGAGCACAGGTATGGTGCTGACAAACCTAGAAACATAATTGGGGCGAACCGTGATTCAAACCCACAATCATAGGTTTCTGGCGTGCCCAAGGGACGTAACTCTGCACACAAATCGCAGGGCCTTAGACGACTGGGACACCCATGCCCCCTTTTTCAGCATTAGTTCAGAGGAGCTCATTTCCGAAACACAATTACGGGCTAATTTACTTTCCAAGTCAAGCCTATATATTTAGAGTTACTATTAGAATACCCTAGAGTAAAAACTCAATTGCTCAAAAAGTTATCTGGAGCTCTGAAAATGTTCAGATACTGCTCAATAATATCATAATGGTTTGGTGATCTACAAAGTTCAAGGTGTAGAAACAAGTTACGCCCAGAAGGTCTCAGACGTTTACCACTTCGGTGAAACCCACGAGCACGGGTGTGGTGCTGACAAACCTAGAAATATAATCGGGGCAAACCGGGATTCGAACCCACAATCATAGGTTTCTGACATGCCCAAGGGACGCAACTCTGCACAGCGAATCTCGGCGCCTTAGAGACAATAATATCATTACTATTTTGCTGATCACCAAAGTTCAGGTTGTAGAAACAAGTTACGCCCAGCACCATCATCTACATGTTCCTCATGTACCTTGCTTTCTCCATCTGTCTCTCCTTCTCTCTCTGTGCTGCATTTTGTGCTTTCTTTTGTTGGTCATCTGCTGCCTCCTCTGCATCTTCATCCTGACTGTTTGTCATCTTCTGAACATTTGTCCCTCTCTCACTCAGGTTGATAACTCGGTTTGGATGTTTGATGTTTCTATTTCTGTTAACAAACCATACTCGTCAATTCCGATAATCAGGAGATAAAACAGTTTGAAACAAGGCCAAAAGTGAGCAGGGCTCACAAATACCCCCCGACTTCGACTCCAACATATTTCTAATTCAGAGCATGCAAAAAGCAATATTTTCTCAGAAAATCTACTTATCGAAATCAAACTTTGCACTGCACTTCTCCTATTGATAGAGAAACTGTACTCCTGCTTGGAAAAGAATCCATAAAGAAGTTCTCGAGTTATAGGTTGCACAAATGTAGAAATAAAAAAAACATAAAAACATTCAAAATACCTATGTAAAAATTCCATTTCTCAGAAAATCCACTTATAAAAAAACACCTCTTCTATTAGTATGGAAACTGTTGGCTAAATTTTAAGATTCCATGTAGTAGTTTTCAAGTTATAGGTCACACAATTGTTTAAGTTGAAAAATTAATAATATCTGTATTTTTTCAGAAAATCCAAGTATTGAAATGAAACTTCCCACTGCACCACTCCTATTGGTATAGAAAGTGTTCACCAAGTTTGAAAAGAATCTATGAAGCAGTTTGTTCTCGAAAGGATGGAAGGAAGGACAGACTGACAGACAGAATAACCACACACACTCACACACGCACGCACGCACACACAGGTTTGATAAACAAACTTGAACTGACTGAAATGGTTTGGGCTTGGATGGTAGGGGTTGTGTGGTCACGCCCCGTGACACCAGCTTCTCCTTGATCTGACGTCTCTGTGTCTGCCACTGCTCCATGTCATCGTCCGAGTCACTGGAGTCTGAGCTGCAACAGTCAACACACTCACCTGTATCCTACGCTACTTACATTAGGCTAAAAAAAATAAAAGAATTGGTTCTCCTCTTACCCAGAATCCCCCCCCGGGCGGCTTCTTATGACCGGGGGCGGTCGGGGAGCCTAGAGCTTAAAGCGTTCACTCGTCACGCTGAAGACCCAGGTTTGATTCCCAACACGTTTCACAATCTCCTTCTGGCCCCACTCGATTATCCTACAGGCTTTCACCTTTGCTGGGGGGCGGTCGGGTAGCCTAGTGGTTAAAGCGTTAGCTCGTCACGCCGAAGACCCGGGTTCGAGTCCCGACATGGGAACAATGTGTATAGCCCATTTCTGGTGTCCCCCGCCGTGATATTGCTAAAAGCGGCGTAAAACCAAACTCACGGACATGACCAGCATAGGTTGGGGACCATTCTAAACCAGAATCCCAAACTCATATAAACTCATATACTAATTAAGCATTGACAATGTCACAGATGCACTCCAATATCAAACTTAATTAATAACATGATGGGTTTCATTCCATATCGTGACATATTGCTTCACAAAAAAATTTTATTATCTGCCTATGAGGTGGTTTCCAAACTCTTACTGAAAATTAAGTCATTCACTCTGACCCGGTTATGGTGTTGTCTTAAAAAGATGGAACGACCATTGAACAAGTGATTTTTAGCATTCATGCTGAAGAGCAAGCAGCGCCCATACAAGCATCTTCCCGAGGCAAGGGCGTTAACTGACTATAGAAGTCCAGTTTCCACACTTGCCAAACTAGGCTGGAATTTCCAGGCTCGATCGTAGCGCCACCAGTGGCTATTAATAGTTTTGTCCCTTCCATGTTCCTCCTATTGACCAATCAGATTCCATCTCTCATATCACTTGCATTTGCTTTAAACAAAATGGCGGCACCCAGTAGAGACGACTTGCTCAATAATCAAGATCTATATTGTAAAAAAACGGGTCTTACCCCACGAAGTGCATCAAATCATGTGAGCACCTTAAGCGAAAGCATGAAATAATTTGCAAAATATCTGTCGACGCACAGTTGGCGGTACACATGTTTTGCAAATTCTTCAATCGACAGAAATCTGCACTTGATATCCATTTCGTTTAGTAACCCGATGTCTTGTTCCTTATGCGATTTTGATTGGACGATGCATGGACTCGTTAGTCCAGCCAAAATGTAATTCTATAATACCAGCCTAGTTCGGCAGGGGTGGAAACTGGACCTTTATAGTCAGTTAACTCCCTTGCCTCGGGGAGGATGCCATACAAGAAGACAACAAGCAATAATGTGGATAAATGCAGTTACTGAATGCATTAAACCAGAGCTCCAGATAAGCTTTTGGTGTTGTGGGTATTTTACCCATGCATTTTAAAATCATTGGGTATCAGTAATTCTTTCTGGGTATTCAAATTTCTGTTACCCACTAGTTCTTATACATGTGGGTATTTGAGTTAAATATTTAAAAACACTATTCATCTAGTCCCTGCAAACTGGTGTCGTGTGGGTTCCAGATCTTTATAGGACTCAAAAATACCACAGTACTTCCATAAGAAAGTGTGATGGCAAATGATCATGATGTAACTGTCATCGTGGAGTTTGGCAAGGTTGACGGAATACCCGTTTATAATTTCAAAATAAGTTGATCTGCTAATCGAATATGCAGGGTTACTTCAAAATATTTTGATGATACGCACAAGTTTTATTTTTGTAGCGTATCTGTAATGTTCGTTGCATATTTGATACGATTGGATTTTATTTTACTGGGTATTTCTGCATTTCTGATGCGTATTTTACGCAGATACGCAGCGTATCTGGAGCTCTGCATTACACTAATCCCGACCCCAATCAGCGAGAGTCGGGAGTATGTACCTGTCGTGCTGAATGCCCAGGATCTGCTGAACACGCTCAATATTATGTTGTTCCTTCTGACGATGTTTCTCAAAGTGGCGGAGATCGATGAACACAGTGTCTGGTTCCACCTTCGGCTGGGCTGGAGCTGAAGCAGGGAGACAGCTATATATAATAATTTATTACCCACGTGGTGAAGATACAGGTGGTAAGATACAAGGTTGACCTCGTTTTTTTTGTTTTCACACTTTATTAAACTAAACAAGATCATCACACGCATTAAATGGCATCTAACGAGAATGAGTTTATTATTCTCTATGTATTTACTCGGCGCCAACTTCCATCACTCGATAATACTATAATTTGGTACTGTTCATTCTTTTATTATTAGCTTATCTTTCTACGATTGCTCATAAATATGGTATTAACTACTTTCATGCCAGAACATCTTGCTCGATCCTACATGATCAAGGCCTATCCTCCAAATATGCGATGTCAAAATGTTAATAATGCTATATATGTATATATCACTGTGTATGTAACCACTGAAACTGGAATAAAAATTATTTTAAAAAACCAAAACTTCCATCACTCGGACGTTATTACCCCGGTCAATGGATTAGTGTGCACTCGTTTTCACTCTCAGCTCCCTGGGGATTACAAACCAACGCTGCCTGGGAGGCGCGAGAAGGTGAACTGTTTCCTTGTGCCTATTTGCAGCCTGATGTACAGAGGCTTATTTTGCCCAATCTCATTAAAATCACATCTTAGTTCTCGCTACCGCTAAACAAAGATCTGAGGACATCCCATTAGGGGTCACGTCAGACCGACCTTGCGCGAACTTTAACCGACCAATAGAATGACCAATCAGAAGGCAGCTTTCTCGTGCTTTACGGCACAAATTTCAAATTGGAGACTACCCTTCGAAACATATTTTGACAAATTTTCAATTACAAATTTAAAACCTGAACAAAAAAACATTCTGGAATGGTCTAGATTGTAAGGATTCAGTCGTTAAAACCGTAACTATTGTTCGGAATACCCCATGTTAAAGTTTTCGAGATTACATGATTAGAAATCACATTCAGACTATCACTTTCATAATACGGTAGGCGACGCACTGATTGGTCGGATGAAAGGTCGTTCTGACGTGACCCCTAATGGGATGTCTTCAGATCTTTGTTTGGCGGTAGCGAGAACTAAGGTCTGATTTTAATGAGATTGTATTTCTCCCAAAGCCACTTGCTCAAGGAGACACCACATGTGCTACATGTGCTTCAGTGAGGAACAGGACCGAAATCCGAAAAACTCTCAGGAGCCAAGCCGCCAAACACGGTCACCCATCCAACTACTCTGTGACCAATGTTGCTTCACTTCACTTGATTTGTGACCTATGCCCTGCACACAGGACCACGTGCCACCACAGAACACAACACACAAAGCCATCATTCAAGTTATTTCAAAGCTGTACAAGTTTACAACAGGCTGCTACGTAAGCCACTTGTCGGAATTTTGAGTCAAGTAAGCTCCGCATATAACAGCCCTATATTAACAGCAAAATCTACTGATAATACCGTATTTGACGTAATAAGCACCCCACTCTAATAAGCTGATAAGCGCCCCAGCGATATTTGCTAATGTATTGGCCAGTGAACAATCCTAATTAGCACCCCTTCTGATTGATCAATGTACACAAGACTTATATATTCGCTTAAAATACACACTCGTGTGTTATATGCACACTTAATTATGGGCAATTAAATTCTGGAAAAATATACCTATCATACATAAACATTTCAGGCTGTCAGCATAAACCACGAAATTTATCTTTTAACCCTGTTTTTTTTCACTAAAATAATATTCTATGAGAGCCCCCTATTTCTAATTTTGAGAGCACCCTGGGTGCTTATTACTTCGAATACGGTAATGCCAAAATACCAGGCTGGACTGCAATCACTGGACATTTGTATTATGCATGAATGCAGGCAAGGCATATATCCTTGACACAATCTAGATATACACACCAACATATGGAAATCACAGACAACCTTAATACTGAATATCATTCCTGTTACAAAGTAGATGCAATTAATGGATAGCTTCTTTATTTTACTGTAAAGGCGATGTTTCGGTAAAGATCGTATACCATTGTCAAGCCTTATACCGCTGCTTGACAATAGTATAAGGATCTAGACCAAAACGTCACCTTTGCAGTAAAATAAAGAACTTGTTATCCATAAACTGTGTCTACTTTGTCGTCAGTCAACGTCTAAGTAACACCTATCAAACAAATCATAATTCCTGTTAATTTTACTTTGAGTGAGTGAGTGAGTTGGGTTTAACCCCTTTTTTAACAGTATTCGAGTTATATCACTGCGTGTCAGCTTAATGTGGGAGGAAAGCCCGAAGTGATGCAGGTCTCAGATGTTAACCACTTCGGTGAAACCCACGAGCACGGGTATGGTGCTGACAAACCTGGAAACATAATCGGGGCGAACCGGGATTCGAACCCACAATCATAGGTTTCTGGCGTGCCCAAGGGTCGCAACTCTGCACAGCGAATCGCGGCGCCTTAGACGACTGGGCCACCCGTGCCCCCAATTTTACTTTGAAGCTGTATATCATAAATACAAAAAGAGTTTTATGCACTGCCCGCACGTTTCACTTTTTACTTCCATTTTCGAAATATTTTTATTTTCCCTTTACATGCGCACAGCTTTACTGCACATCTCGTGTTATGGTCATGGCGGCAATAGGAGTTTGTATGCTTGTTTATGTAGGGAGGCTTTTTCACAGGTTGATGGTACACAACTGTTTATTTGGTTACATACTAGTTTGAACAAGGAAAAAATAACACACCGCCTGCCCTATATTTTCCAAAATCATTGCCTGAGAACCAGTTCTTATATTCTCTTAAGCCTAAGCATGTTTAAAGTAACTTCATCTTTATTCAAGGTGTCTGTACCAGTAAATACAAAATAGGGGAATATTTGAGGCAATCCCATGAAGATACTTTCCCCAGAATGACAATTGACAAATAAGCTGGCCACTGAATACAATTTGGTGACATCGCACTCACGTGGAATAAAAGATGGGGGAGACATCCTTGAAAGGTCACTTGTATTTGTTCCCATGCATGCTGTTGTCTTCTTGGATTCTTGAAAGGAGATGAAAAGGAGTAAATCAATTAGGATCAAGCTAATAAAATCTTGTTGAAGATAAAAATCTCACCTTGGACTATCTCTACATGAAGCCAAAGGGAGATAATCTTCATAATTATCTCCCCTTGATCAATTCCAATACTATGAAATATCCAGTCTATGTTATCTCAATCCTTTCAAACCAACATTATTATTTGAAATGAAGCATCATCAAACAACATGATTTCTTGAAAATATTCTAAAGATTCCTCTAGACTGGTAACCAAGGGGAGGGGCGGGGGCCTTGGAGAAGGAAGAGCAATGTTTTAGGTTCTGTGCAGGGCTGTTACAATTCACCCGCGTATTCGATGAATCGAACCTTATCCATTCATGAATTGAATTCGTTATTCGTGGCCACTAGAATCGAATATTTATGAATGTGCAATCATACCCTTACATACCCTGTACCTAAAACATCCATAAGAACATATGATATGCATAGATTTCTTCAAAGACAACACTCTTATAATATTTAATTTGACAGGAATTTGGTCACTGGTCATTGTAGCATTTGAGCAGATACTAAGACTAAGTACCTGGACAAGTGCAGTATATAAATGTATAATATATTAATAGTTAACAAACCATGTCAAATAATTTATGTTGTTAATGTTTCACTGCTGACTTGTCATTGCATTCGTGAATTAATATTCGTATTCATTACCCTATATTCGTGATACGAATCGTATTCGCCTCATAGTGTATTCGTTGCAGCCCTAGTTCTGTGTACTAAGATTGAAGGAAATTGTAGAGTGGTGTGTCAGGATGATAAATAATCTGATCTTCCGAAAACAAAAGCGCCATATGAACATAATAAACAAAACAAATATGTTTCTTAACATGTGTAATACTTGATATGAAAATAAAGAAGTGAGTTTGTGTTTACGCTCCGTTTATTAACTGAAGGGGCCATTGACTGGGGCTGGCAAAAATTGATAATCGGAATTTTCATCGATGGGAAGAAATAATAATGATTATCGAAAATTGTATCAACGATAATACTTTACATAAACTATTGTGATGAAATAAAGTTTAGATTTACCAAAACAGACTTGTTATTGTCAGTAATCTTAATTGCTGAAGACGGAAAGTAATTATTTTTGTTGTATCTCAAATGTCCACAAAGTAATCCCTGAATAAACGTGCCACCACTCACCGGTGGAGTGAATGAAATATGTTGATTTCTTTAGGATTTGTTTTGCGTATTTGCTAGGGATGTCACGATTCACCGATTGTACCAATGCATCGGTAGATAATTCTCATGATACGATATGAGATACATGTAAATTTATATCGATACAAAATTTTATTGAAATCGGTATCCATTTGTTTGCGTATCGATTGATTTTTCTTTTCGAATCAAAATATCATCATATTTTCTGAATTTGACACAAACGAAAACTTGTTAGTGTGACGCTCGTTTGAATTAACAGAATCAACCTTTTCTAAGTATTATTATTTTACAAAATAATCTACTGATAGTGGTAAGAACACACAATTGTGAAAGTGATATGTAATCAAAAAGTTCGCTTCTAAAGTTACGCATAAAAGGTAGGTATTGCTGTATCGAGATACGTATCGTATCTTGACCTCAAAATCGAGATACGTATTGTATCGTGAGATACATGTATCGTGAAACCCCTACCATTTGCTGAAAGATACTTCTCCGATATTTATTGATAGCTGATCCATATTTAGTTAAAGATTATCGATCTCTATGATCGGTATCCATAGCCAGCCCTACCGATGACTTGACATATTAACAGACAGTCTCTTCCTTCTGCTGCCAGAAGGCCAACAGACAACCAGCTAAATTGATCCGAGTGATATAATTCATGAATGTTGCTTGACGCCATAGCCATCAATAATCAAGTCATATCATGGCAGTCTGCAAATATTAAGGGGAATGAAAGCATGATGAACCAAATACTTCATTGGGGTAAAACAATATGCAAGTCACAGAGCCTGATCACCTGATCCGTGTTGTGTTCTTTCGATAAGCATAAGTTACTGGGACATGGAGGCTGTGGGAAAGTTGACACTCAACAGAGGTTGGTTGGTTTGTTGTTTTACGCCGCACTCAGCAATATTCCAGCTATATGACCGCGGTCTGTAAATAATCAAGTCTGGACCAGATAATCCAGTGATTGATATGAGCATCAATCCACACAACTGGAATCGATGACATGCTTCAACCAAGTCAGCGAGCCTGACCACCCGATCCCGTTAGTCGCCTCTTACAACAAGCATAGTCGCCTTTTACGACAGGCATGTGTTGCTGAAGACCCATTCTACCCCGGATCTTCACGGGTCCACCCAACAGAGGAGATAGATCCCTACGGAGGAGATAGATGCCCACAGAGGAGATAGATCCCTACAGAGGAGACAGATCTCTACAGTGGTAGACCTCCACACAGAGGAGACAGATCCCTACAGAGGAGACAGATCCCTACAGAGGAGACAGATCTCTACAGAGGTAGACCTCTACACACAGGAATTAGATCCCCACAGAGGAGATATAGACAGGTGAGGCAGTAGATATGTGTATGGAATGTTGAGGAGTGCATAGGGTAGCTGGCACATGTTGTGTGAGAGGCCTGCAAGGTGAACCCACCTTTCTCTGTTGTCTCCCTGTTGTCCTGCCCCTTGATGGCCCCAGTGCGGGGGTCAATAGTAGCCAGGGGACAGCCCCCCTGTGATACAGACAGTTGGGCCAGCTTCTGTATCAGGGTCAGATCCTCGAGCGGGGCTGCAACAGATAGACAGAGTGTTAGACATTCAACATTGGGACATGGGGTTACTTTGAGCTTAAACAAAGTGAAATGCTTCTTATTATCTTACTGTGCATACTATCAAGGAAATGTTGCAAATTGTAGAGTGTAATATTAGTCACATTTCCCAGGACCTAAACATAATTGTGTCTTAACATAAAGGAGGAATCTGATAAAGACAAGTGGCCCTTGCCAAGACAAGTCAGTTGGTCCTATCAAGTACAAGTTGGTCCTATCAGTTACAAGTTGGTCCTATCAGGTACAAGTTGGTCCTATCAGGTACAAGTTGGTCCTATCAAGTACAAGTTGGCCCTATCAGGTACAAGTTGGTCGTGTCAAGTGTAAGTTGGTCCTCGCATATATATGTCAGTAGGTCCTATCAGGTACAAGTTAACACAGGTGTCACGGCCTACCTTGGCTCCAGTGAACACAGGTGTCACGACCTACCTTGGTTCCAGTGAACACAGGTGTCACGGCCTACCTTGGTTCCAGTGAACACAGGTGTCACGACCTACCTTGGTTCCAGTGAACACAGGTGTCACGACCTACCTTGGTTCCAGTGAACACAGGTGTCACGACCTACCTTGGTTCCAGTGAACACAGGTGTGGCGACCTACCTTGGTTCCAGTGAACACAAGTGTGACGACCTACCTTGGTTCCAGTGAACACAGGTGTGATGACCTACCTTGGTTCCAGTGAACACAGGTGTGGCGACCTACCTTGGTTCCAGTGAACACAAGTGTGACGACCTACCTTGGTTCCAGTGAACACAGGTGTCACGACCTACCTTGGTTCCAGTGAACACAGGTGTGGCGACCTACCTTGGTTCCAGTGAACACAAGTGTGACGACCTACCTTGGTTCCAGTGAACACAGGTGTCACGACCTACCTTGGTTCCAGTGAACACAGGTGTCACGACCTACCTTGGTTCCAGTGAACACAGGTGTGGCGACCTACCTTGGTTCCAGTGAACACAAGTGTGACGACCTACCTTGGTTCCAGTGTACACAGGTGTGATGACCTACCTTGGTGTTCTGCTGTGTCCCCACCTCCTCCTCTGCTGGAAGATGCTAGCATCGTCCTGGGTCCATACTGGTTGTCTTCATTCAAACTCACCAGCAACACATCTACACAAAGCATGGGAGTCAGTGCCCGCTTTAAACAGTGCAATACAGTGTAATCACATAGACAGCATGCAATATGGCACACATGGACCCGTGAAGATCCGGAGTAGAATAGGTCTTCGGCAACCAATACTTGCCGTAAAAGGCGACTATGCAGGTCGTAAAAGGCGACTAACAGGATCGGGGAGTCAGGCTCACTGACTTGGTTGATGCATGTCATCGGTCCCAATTGCGTGGATCAATGCTCATGATATCAATCACTGGATTGCCTGGTCCAGACTCGATTATTTACAGACAGCCGTCATATAGCTGGAATATTGCTGAGTGCGGCGTTAAACAACAAACAAACCAACCAACCAATCCGTATTTTCTACAATATGTCAGATGTAGCAACATATGTATCAGTATGTCGTCACATTTCGCTACACTAGAAGCATCAAACAAATATGGCCAAAAAATATTCACCATAGTGCAAGTACTCCTGGAAAACTGAATTACGACCACGGAGTGAGTTAGTGTGGTTTTACGCCGCTTTTAGCAATATTCCAGCAATATAACGACGGGGGACACCAGATATGGGCTTCACACATCGTACCCATGTCGGGAATCGAACCCGGGTCTTCGACGTGACGAGTGAACGCTTTAACCACTAGACTACCCGACCGCCCCCAAAATATAAGACACAAAGTCAGACATTAACAATCCCGACATGGGTACAATGTGTGAAGCCCATTTGTGGCGTCCCCCGCCATGATATTGCTGGAATATTGCTAAAAGCGGCATAAAACCATACTCACTCACACATTTTAATTGTCATTATATTTTAGTCACACTAAAAAGTTCATCAAATGTGAACTTTTTCTATTATTTTGCCCTACCAATTGAATAAAGGATTTTATGATCATTTTTTGCATAGTTTCATCCATATTACCAACGGTCAACTACAGACTGTTCTCAGGATATCCAATATTAACCAGAGCTGCAGATAAGCTGCATATTTAAAATAAATCATAATTACCCAATTAATGTTGAGTTGCTCGCTTACAAATATGCATGAAAAATGTAAAAAAACAATACATGTAAATACTCAATGCAGCATTTTCCGCTTGCTTACCTAAATATCTTTACACATATTCATTTACTGATCAAATGCAGGCATCAACTATTCATAAACTCTACAGCAGCGGACAATGTCAAAATGTTACGTCTCTCTTGTTGAAACTGAGACGTATTGTTTGTTTGTTTGTTGTTTAACGTCGCACATCAAATCATGTGAGCACCTTGATTAAAAGCATGAAATAATTTGCAAAATATCTGTCGACGCACAGTTGGGGGTACACATGTTTTGCAAATCCTGCAGTCGACGGTTGGTTGGTTGGTTTGTTGTTTAACGTCGCACTCAGCAATATTCCAGCTATATGACGGCGGTCTGTAAATAATCGAGTCTGGACCAGAAATCCAGTGATTAATATCATGAGCATTGATCCACGCAATTGGGACCGATGACATGCATCAACCAAGTCAGCGAGTCTGACCACCCGATCCTGTTAGTCGCCTTTTACGACCTGCATAGTCGCCTTTTACGGCAAGCATGGGTTGCTGAAGACCTATTCTACTCCGGATCTTCATGGGTCCTGAGACGTATCGCTGTTGGGAGTATATGTGACATGTTCCACACATGGGGCAGTAATTGAACAGAAGAAAAAAAGTAGTTAACTGAAACTGCATGAATATAAAAATTGTCTACGCATCGGTTTATGATTACCTAATAGACTGGTCCCAAGGTAGTAAAAATATCCTGAATAGCCTAAGAAATCTATCAAAACTGAGTTTTTAATTGTAGGTGAGGTGAGGTGAAATGGGGTTTAACGTCGCATCCAAGATTATTGCACTTATATAGCGACATGCATGCATGTGTGTGTGTGTGTGGCTGCTTGTACTAGTCCGGACTAATGCCGATTTATAGTGTTAGCTCACTGAGATACCATGCCGCAGTTTAACATGAATACCCCACTCAGACACAGTATACTGACTCCGAGCCGACCAGTCCTTATTTTAGCCCCCTAATGCCGAGCGCCAGACAGGGTAACAACAAGTACCATCTTTTAACGTCTTTTGGTATGACGCGGCCGGGGATCGAACCCGGGACCTTCCGCTCTCCGGGCCGACGCTCTACCACTTGACCATGGAGGCGGTCGAGTTTGAATTGTAACATGTGAGTACTTAGTCAATGGCTAAAAAAGTTATCCGACGTCATTACCTAAATCAATATTCTCCAAGGCCTGAAGAGACAACACCGGCGCTCTGGCTGAAACAAGTGTTGATGCAATGGCTTTACTCTTTTGTTTCTCATTATCTTGTTTCCTTTTCTGTTTCACACCAACTGTTTCTAAGAAATCCCCAGCGTCCGTGTCAAGACCTGCTTGAGAGTTGTCTCCCCCTTCTTCACAATTCTCTTCCTCCATCAGTCTGTTGTCAATGAAATCATCCTCCATTGATGTCCCACTGCTGGTAAATGTTGGCGGAAAAGACGGTTGAGACATATCTCGTTCCAGTGCCATCCAATTCTGCATCTGGGGCTTCGGACAATTTGAATTTTCTATGTCTTGTTCATAATCTGTCACAAGCGCCTCCCAACTACCCCCGGTGTCAGTTTGGGATCCATCACCAAATATTGGTTTCAACAGTGCAAGGTCATTGTCATAAGGGGGAGGTAACTCTGATATTTTGTCAACCGGCTGCTTCATTGGCAGCATCCTCTCTGTCAAGGATTCGCCACTTAGGCTTGTGTCAAGATCCTTGTCATCATCAAACAAATAGTCAGATGTTTTCAAGCTTCTGTGAAATATAATCGGCTCATCTGTATCTGAGCTTATCTGCAACAGAGAAAACATTCCACGTTAGATTTTAGGTAACTCTAGCCAAAGGTAGACAAAGAAACCTGTGTTTAAGAATGGTCTATGTCCAACATGCAATTTGAAAATAAGCATGTTGCATGAGTTTCTTTTTAGAGGGAACAAAGGATTTAATATCATCTCAAAATTTATTATTGCATTCTCAGTTTCAAGAAAAAACACTCATAGAGAAACAGGTCAGTAATCATAAGGATCTCATCTTCCCGAGGCAAGTGAGTTAATCCAGTTTCCACCCTTGCCGAACTAGGCTGGTATTATGGAGTTACATTTTGGCTGGACTAACTAGTCTATGCATAGTCCAATCAAAATCGTGCTCCGAAATCAATATCCGGTTCGTAAATTTTTATGAAGATTTCGGTCGATTGCAGGATTTGCAAAGCATGTGCACCACTTACTCGTTGTCAACAGATATTTTCAAAATCTTTTCATGTTTTTAATCAAGGTGCTCACGTGATTTGATGCACTTCGCGATGTAAGACTCGTTTTATCACAATATATAGATCTTGATTATCGATCAGATCATCTTGACTGGGCGAGAACCAAATGAACCAAATGCAAGTGATACGGGAGGTGGAATCTGATTGGTCATAGGAGAGGCATAGAAGGGACATAACTCGTAACATCCACTGGTGGCGCTACGATCGAGCCCAGGAATACCAGCCTAGTTCGGCAAGGGTGGAAACTGGACTTTTAAAGTCAGTTAACTCTCTTGCCTCTGGAAGATGAAGGTAGACCAATGGAACCCTGTGTTTAACAATGGTCTATGTTCAACATGCACTTTGAGAATAAGCATGTTGCATGAGTTTCTTTTGGTGGGGACAAAGTATTTAATATCATCTCAAAATTATATTTTGCATTCTCAGTTTCAAGAAAAAACACTGATAGAGAAACAGGTCAGTAATCACAAGGATCTGGGCAAACAAATATTTTGTCCTTACTTTGGGGTTAAAAAAATCATACTTTTTTGCATCACCATTTATGAACATTACTAAACAATAAAAAGCATGTGGAAATCATCATAAATTTTTTAAGTCAAAGAACTTAAGGAAGGTGGATTGAATGGATTAACCTCACACAAATTCAAGTTGATTGCAGCAGTACTCGTACCAATACTCCAAGAAATACCAAAAAAATTACAAAAAAAAAATTACTTCTTAAAATAAAAAAATATGGATTTTATTTGTTTTTATGGCAAAACATGGATAATTGATTAGTTTCAAAACAGTAACATGTTACTTCTCTTTTTCAATTATTAAGCGGACATTTGGGAATGTTATGGGTAGCCACATGATGCCATTTTCACACTCGTACCATTCCGTAATCTACAAGATCTTGAGTGGTAAGGAATCAGCTGATATGGTGCGAATGGAAAATGACTCCAGGCGTTACACGGTGAGTTCAAGTATACACATAAATGGCAAGGTATTTAATAATTTGTCGGGTCATTTCGTGAAAGGAAAGTGCAGGAAGGAACACGAGAAGATAACGTGGATCATAGTAAGGAGGATGAAGGGAAAGGCATGGCTACTGTGAGTCGGCTTCTGAATCATCACAGGGCACAGGGCCGCTTTTAACAGTATTCCAGTTATGTCACGGTGTGTCGGCTTAATGTGAGAGGAAAGCTCGAAGTGATGCAGGTCTCAGACGTTTACCACTTCGGTGAAACCTACGAGCACGGGTATGGTGCTGACAAACCTAGAAACATAATCGGGGCGAATCAGGATTCGAACCCACAATCATAGGTTTCTGGCATGCCCAAGGGACGCAACTCTGCACAGCAAATCGCGACGCCTTAGACGACTGGGCCACTCGTGCCCCCTACAGGGCACAGGTAGCGAGGGAAAGTGGCCTGGGTGGAAGCTCTTCATGTACCGTATTTAACGTAATTAGCACCCAGGGCGCTCTCAAAATTAGAAATAGGGGGCTCTTATTAGAATAAAATTTTGGTGAAAAAAAAAAGGGCTGAAAGATCATAAATTTTGTGGTTTACGCTGAACGCCTGAAATGATACAAAAGAAAAGTCTTTGTGTATTAAACATGACACATATATTTTCCAGAATTCAAATGCCTATAATTAAGGGTGCATATAACACACGAGTGCGTATTATACACAAATGAACAAGTCTTGTGTACATTGATCAATTAGAAGGGGTGCTAATTGGGATTGTTCACTTGCAAATATCGTTGTGGGCGCTGTGGGCGCTGTTTCTAACTTCCATTTATAATCTCCATGAATTCTGTTGAATCCGAAATTCAACATGATGAAAACGAATATGCTTTTGCATTTGCCATAAAATGCACCACTGTAGGCTGTGTTTAGTGAACAAATATTGAAAACTCTCAACATCACTGGGCTTATCCAAAGACAGTGCATGCAGCAATATTAGATCACTGAGAGGAGCTTAGGCACAACCAATGACACCAGCAACACTGTTGCTAGGCTGATGTCACAGCGCATTGTTTTGCTGGCGTACAACAAAATTTCACAAATATGTCATAGGGTCTTCTGACATGTTTGTAAAGTTAATGGAACTATATTCTAAAGGTAGGCCCAAGATAAACGTACTGGTGCCTATTTTGCCCATGAGTGAGCGAGTGAGTTTGATTTTACGCCGCTTTTAGCAATATTCCAGCCATATCACGGCGGGGGACACCAGAAATGGGCTTCACACATTGTACCCATGTTGGGAACCGAACCCGGGTCTTCAGCGTGACGAGCGAACGATTTAACCACTAGGCTACCGACCGCCCCATTTTGCCCATGAAAAGAATGACAACAATTTTCCTCTTACATCTGACAGATCAAAATCTATAGAAGGAAGGCTTTTTTCGACTTCAGCAAATATCGAGTCCATCTGTGGCTTCAGCTGAGGCCCTTTGGAGGTTGACTTCCCCTTCATTTCCTGACCCCCACTTGCAGCCCCGACGGCCACTGACACCTCGGGGTCACTCTCTTCTCCTGAGGAGTTCATCGCTATGGCACCTAAAAAATATACCGTATAAATATCTTGTTCAACAGGCAGATGAAATATTAATGTTAGTAGGTATATTACCATATTAACGTTGATTCCATTCACTATGAATGGCATAGCATGTCCAGACATCCAGTGCAGATGTAAAATTTCACATGAAAAATTTGTGAGTGTTTACAAATAATGAATACAAAAAGAATATAACAAAAACAAAAGCAATTTGGGGACTGGGAGGCCATGAGAACAAAAAATGTATTTTTACAAGTCTGTAATTCAACACAAATGGTAGCTGCATTGCATTCTGTATCTAACTGAGCCAAAATCATTTAATTAATATCATGTTTCCTAATAGTAATATTCTTAGAAAAAAGTTTCATCAAACATATTTACAAGAATCAAATAGAATTCATCACCTCAAACTCAACAGACAATGAAAATCGCTCGTACATACGGCACTATTGCTATATGGCAATAATTAGAATGCAGGTTAGATCGAACTTCAGAAGTGCAAATTCATGGTGGGTAAGCTGAAAATAGGCTAGATCAGTGAGTGATCGATACTGACACTTATAACTTGGCAAATTGCCTTCAAGAGGCACAGGCACATGACTCAAGCAGGTTATGTACCTGTCAGAACTGTATTATATAATCTGACAAGCGACTATTTGGAGAGCGCCGCATCTCTCAAACAAGGGCCTCCTGCAGATGCTCCTGCTTCCATGGTAATTATGTCAACTATCTCGGAACGCCGGTAATGGAATAGCGAAAAGTTATCAAAAAGTGGATATAACGTAATTTACCCTTGGTTTTGGTCATCCTCATCCTAAGAGCCGAATCCGTCTTGTACAAACAAAGTAATTATCACTTTCTCAAAGCTAAGTTTCGGTTCTCACTAAGTTTGAGCGACTAGAAAATATTTTGCAGCCATGATGCTTGACATGGGCTCGGGAGTATCCGGAAGAATTCGGTAGTTCCCGTGAAATAATTAAACAAGTTTCTTCACAACTATCAACATTTATATTCTTAATAAATAAATGATATTGTCATAAAAGATTCTTCACCTTAAATGTATAATATATTTTTAACATAAGATGTATTCTGTCTCTGTGCATCGGTAGTTAACATAGTAAAACAATACTATCAGAATCGTCACGGTGTTTTAGTAACAAATAGAAACAGTTGCATTCGAGGTGTATCTGCGATATGTACTCGGCATCTATCGCGAGATTCAACTTGTTGTAAATATGGCCGACAGGTGCTCGCTTATGTTGTCATTAATGGTTCCATTCTACTAAGCCTTTCACATGTGGCATTAATTCGGATTTTCAGTTGTGGCATTCGGGAAATTAAGGTAAGCATTGTATTTGTTCATCAATAATGCTGCCATCTTATGGATATCGTTGTTTTATGATGATTAAGATTTATGTTATGACAATCGCCGATGCACAAACGATGACACTGACAGTTTCAAAATTAATGTAATCCTATATTTTGAAGGTCGACGGAAATACTGTTATGCGGCGAGCAACCTTTGGTTTTTCAAACATTTCATCTAATTTTATTTCAATCATGGAAATGATAATGTCAAGCGTGCCAGTATCCTGTTATTTCCGTGTCAGCTAATGAGTAAATGAGTGATGTTATCATGTACGTCTATATGAAAAGAATATCTGATAGTAACTTGCTCTAATACTGTAACAGTAGCACATCTAATCTAAAGTATTGTAGAACCATGAGGCATCAGTGTGACATGAGTGATAGTCAATTCATGAATTCTTGTGGCAGTGACAGCTCTTTAAAGCAGCCAAGTAGCTAAAGGCTACTTAGAAAAATTGAATACTGCTACTTAAAATCCTGCATATCATGCTTTTGACAGTCAAACATAACGAGCCACAATATAAAGATTTATATATTGTGCCTAGTGACCAGTTATCGCGGAGGACCAATCATCGCCAACTACCCATTATAGCATGCACGTGATCGCATCTTACTTTTGCTCGTTTTCATTAGAAGAGATCAATATTAATCCGATAATGATGAACAAAACAGACTTCTTGTGAGGAAATATTTAAAAAACACTCCATAATCACATTGCTCAATTACAACTTTGGAAAAGACACACGGGCTGTGTCAAGTGACTAATTCACGAGAATATATTCATCAAACAACACGATGATGCACTTTCAGTTCTGTCATTGTTTTCTATCTGTCTCTCATTTCTTCCCCAAAATACAATTCTGAAACCTTTTTGAGCTATATTTCCAAAAATGCATGGCCTGAATATATCGGGAAATCCATAGACATAATGTTGAGGATAAGCAAGTTTTTTGTCAGATTGCAGACGACAAATTGATAATAGCATTTCTTACTTTTTTTATGAATAAAAACATTAAGTGCGATACCCGAGATACTGAAAAATGCAATTTGTAGAACTGAAGTGGTGTGAATGATCAAGTGGCACATCCTGTTAAGACGATGGGGATAACTGGTACAGAAGTCGACGGGAAAGTTCTATTTCCACTGTTTTGATTCCCTATCATAGCGTTACAACAGAAATCAACTGAATCTTCTTCCATGGACAGAAATAACCACATTTGCTCATAGTTTCACACAAAAAAAAGTTATTGCTTAAGTCAACTTTGTACATGGAATATGTTAGAAATAACATGAAAAAAATGGTGATAAGGGGTCGGTGACCAGTATATATTGTTGAGGGCTCTATATTATTGCGGCATCAGTAAACTCTCACTAGCGTTGATTGGTTTATCTGGATCCTCTGATGTCATATCACAATGAATTGTGAACCAAATTTGCTGCAAACAAGATGTTGCTGCATTTTGTAGATATACAAGGCGTTACTTGATGATTATGTTACAAGCCTATGGCAAATCCCCGGCCGCGTCATACCTAAAGACATTAAAAGATGGTACTTGTTGTTACCCTGTTTGGCGCTCAGCATTAAGGGGCTAAAATTACGGCTCGGAGTCAGTATACTGTGTCTGAGTGGGGTACTCATGTTAAACTGCGGCATGGTATCTCAGTGTGCTAGCACTATAAATCGGCTAGACTAACATCTAGTCTCTGAAATGAACATATCATACATAAAAAAAAAGTTGTTCAGTTATCTTAATAAAAATATAATAAAAAGGAGCCCTGTGACTCTCTTCATGATACTGCAGTGATCTAGACTTGCCAAACATTATAGACTTTCATGGGCTGTATTTGATATATATTTGTATCAGGGTCTGTAAGACAGACTATAAATCGGCATCAGTCCAGACTAGTACAAGCAGCCACACACACACGCACAGGTGCATGCACATCGCTATATAAGTGCAATAATCTTGGACGTGATGTTAAACCCCATTTCACCTCACCTCACCTCACCTCACCTCACCTCATTAATGATACAAGGGAGTACTAAGTGATCAATATGACAAAGGCCCAGTAATTTGAGTGCGGCACTGAAATAGCCAAACACCTTTAACTATGCATCCGTATCTGTTTACTGATCACAGTTGATTGTTAACATGTTGACTAACTTCCCTTTCTTGTATAATCCCTAGAGTGCTCTCCTTTATTATCTAATCCCTAAGCTCCTTTGCAGGGCGTGACACCTTCGTTACACTCTCGGTAACATCGCTGCCACCATTGTGGGCGCAGCCATTACAGGAATCTTGAAATTTGCCCTCTAACCCCAAATGTGGTAATGTTTTTACTTTTATGTCTTTGGGAATGCCGTCATAGTGAATTTTGAAAAGGTTTACGACTGACCATATTTCCCAGATGAATTTACCTTTTTGTTTGTTTCATGAGATTGGTTCGAGATTACAGACGAACGGAAAATCAACCAACTTCCTCCTTACATTCTTGCCATGATAGTTGTAATGAAACCTTTATTAAATTGACAAAGAAAGAAAATAATTTAGCAGGGGTAAGAGTATTCGGCGTCACAGCAGTCATCACTTGTTTGTAAACATAACGGTCAGTCGGCTGCAAGTTCAACTCCAAGCATGGTTGAGGCCACCTATCACAGTGGGGAGCTTTAACTGGTGGCAGCAATAGTACAGAGAGCTCTGCAACAAGATATCGCAGCTCAGCGTTAGAAACTAACAGTTTTCGTCCACTAGTCCTTATGATGATAACATATAGCAAAACCCTTAAAAATGGCAATTTTCTACTAGTCCTTATGATACCTTTACCATTGGGCAGTTTGGCAAGGACTATAGGACTAGTGCCAATTTCTAACCCTGCGCTGTGTGTGGGGAGCTTGTCTAATCCCTGGAGTGCTCTCCCTTTCCTATCTTAGCTCTTAGCTCAATTCTTGCTCGATTTGCTAGCTGTTCTGTTGCTTTTGTTTGTTGATCAATTCACTAAAACTGACAAACACAATGAGGCCAAACTTTGTGAACTGACAGCATGAGCATGATGAGTATATGAACTGAACTCTCTTGTGACCATGGTTACAGACACATGAGACATGACATCTGCCGAAGCCTATGAAGCGTATGAAGCATCAGACGAGGCATCGGAGAGTGAGCTGCTGGACAAGAGTCTGTCGTTCTGGAAGGGCTGGGGAGTGGTGGAGAAGGAGGTGTTCACGCCGGTGCCGCACGACATCCACACAGCCTGCAGCATCGGGCACTATGACTATGTCAGGTCTCTCATTATCAGGTAGACCCATGTTTCTTTTGTTTGTTTGTTGTTTAACACCGCACTCAGCAATATTCCAGCTATATGACGGCGGTCTGTAAATAATCGAGTCTGGACCAGGCAATCCAGTGATTGATATCATGAGCATTGATCCACGCAATTGGGACCGATGACATGCATCAACCAAGTCAGTGAGCCTGACTCCCCGATCCTGTTCGTCATCTCTTATGGCAAGCATAGTCACCTTTTATGGCAAGCATGGGTTGCTGAAGACCTATTCTACCCCAGATCTTCACGGGTGTAGGTCGATGTAGGAGATGCCACACAAAGTACAAAATATTACCAGATTAACTCATGAAGCTTCAGGAGGCTTGCTTACTTACTTATATTGGAGATTTAACGTGCGCTTTCCGACTGCAAGCATATGTCGCACACGGTTCAGGAGGCACGGGTGGCCCAGTTATCTAAGACACTGCCATTCGTTGTGCAGAGTTGCGTCCCTTGGGCACGCCAGAAACCTATGATGGTTCAAATCTTGGTTCGTCATACCCATGCTTGTGGGTTTCACCAAGGTGGTATAACTGAAATGCTGTTCAAAGCAGTGTTAACCCAACTCACTCTCTTATGAAGCAGGGTGGTTGGGTAGCCAAATGGTTAAAGCGTTCGCTCGTCACACCGAAGACCTGAGTTCGATTCCCGACCTGGGTACAATGTGTGAAGCCCATTTCTGTGATATTGTTGGAATATTGCTAAAAGCGGCGTAAAACCATACTCACTCACTCACTCACTTATGAAGCTTTGTTTTCTTAAATGTTGTTCACTTCAAATGTACGTTTATGATATTGAGAACATTATGATTTTGATATATGTCTTTCCATGTCAGAGTCTTGTTTTTCCTTAAATGTTTAGGAGACAAACCTCTTATAAAAGTATTCGGTTCCAAATTAAGATCAGAGGTCTCTACTCTATAGTGTGACTACATCAAATTTAAAAAACAAAGGAGTTAATTTCCATTCTACCATGATGACAACAGCTCTTTTAAAACGGCGCTCTCTTACAATACGTACAAAAGTTTGTTATCTTTGAACATTCTGTAAAGGGGTCACAGTTAGTTATATATGAAACAAGTACCGTATTCGACGTAATAAGCACCCCGCTCTTATAAGCGCCCACGGCAATATTTCCGAATATATTTGCTAGTGAACAATCCCAATTAGCACCCCTTCCGATTGATCAATGTACACAAGACTTATTTATTTGTGTATAATACGTGTGTTATATGCATCCATAATTATGGGAAATTAAATTCTGGAAAAATATATCTGTTTCAGGCTGTCAGAATAAACCACGAAATTAACGATCTTTCAACTCTGTTGTTTTTCACCAAAATTATATTCTAGTAAGAGCCCCCTATTTCTAATTTTGAGAGCGCCCTAGGTGCTTATTATGTCGAATACGGTATTACTAAAGTTCAACATTAAACTACTCATGGTCTCGACTAGTTCAAAATAAGTGTTCAAAACACATAGTTTTACAAAAAGATATTAAATTTAACCGTCCATACTTTGTTCAAAGATACATGTTTTAAATTCATCGCAACCTGCAATCCAATGTTAAGACTGACCAAGAAATTTCTTGGAAATCAGCGCAACAAGTCATTTCTTGGAAATCGAATATGCCATTTCCCATTGTAGGGGTGACAGGTTGTAAAAAAAGTTTTAAGAATTATAAATGAATATATTTCACCAACAAACTTTATGCATTAACATTCTACTATTTATTGTACATGTGTAAATCGTATTAGTTAGTTAGCTATTACCCCCACTATTTTACAAAATATTCAAAATAAATGCCTCTCCACCCCAAAAACTTGGATGTGGCAGAACTTGACCTACATCACGGTTACTCACAACTGTCAGTGTCTGCCAACATTGTTGTTTACATTGTCCTTGCCTCAGACAAGTTACACTGAGCAAGATGACAACCCCGGTCTATGATGTGGTTCTACATTAACCCTTAGATTTACTGGGAATGAAAGGGGGCACAGGTGGCCCAGTCGTCTAAGGCGCCACGATTCGCTGTGCAGAGTTACGTCCCTTTGGAATGCCAGAAACCTATGATTGTGGGTTCGAATCCCGGTTCGCCTCGATTATGTTTCTAGGTTTGTCAGCACCATACCCGTGCTCGTGGGTTTGGTCGAAGTGGTTAACGTCTGAGACCTGCATCACTTCGGGCTTTCCTCCCACATTAGGCTGACACACCGTGATGTAACTGTAATACTGTTAAAAGCGGCGTTAAATCCAACTTACTCACTCACTCACTCACTCACTCACTCACTGGGAATGAGCCTGATGGCAATGGAACTAGAGCATGACTGAACAGCCCCTTTTTAGGCTTGCAGACGAACCGTCTATTTTGACAAGAATGACCTGATTTGGCCATTCAATTTCAAGATTTCACGGATTAGATGCCAGCGTGTGAAAGAAATTTAACATTTGTGGCCCAGAATATTGTTCGTGTATGATTTTTCGTGGTCAAAGGTAGGAGTCTTTTCTGATGGACTTTCAAATCCCCTCCTATCAAATCCTTCCGGTGGTTGAAGCAGATGGCAATGAATTTGATGACCGCTGGGTGACATAATTACACTAATATACAATTTTACTTTTACAATGATAGTAAATATGGCCACCCTGGTTTCTGTTTCAGGGGCGATGTGGAGATTGACAAGAAGAACAGAGGGAGCTGGACTCCTCTGATGTATGCCTGCTACATCGGCCACGACAACATCGTCAACCTGCTGATAGACTCGGGGTGTGATGTGAATGTGAAGAACCACAAGGGACAGACACCGCTGATGCTGGCCGCCAGTTGTGGGAATGAGACTGTGGGCAGGACACTCTGCAGGGTACGTATCATATGTGGGCAGGACACTCTGCAGGGTATGTACAGTATGTGGGCAGGACACTCTGCAGGGTATGTACAGTATGTGGGCAGGACTCTCTGCAGGGTATGTACCATATATGTGCAGGACTCTCTGCAGGGTGTATACTATATGTGGGCAGGACTCTCTGCAGTGTACGTACCTTTTGTTGGCAGGTATCTCTGCAGGGTACGTACCTTTTGTTGGCAGGTATCTCTGCAGGGTACGTACCTTTTGTTGGCAGGTATCTCTGCAGGGTACGTACCTTTTGTTGGCAGGTATCTCTGCAGTATACGTACCATTTGTTGGCAGGTATCTCTGCAGTATACGTACCATTTGTTGGCAGGTATCTCTGCAGTGTACGTACCTTTTGTTGGCAGGTATCTCTGCAGTGTACGTACCTTTTGTTGGCAGGTATCTCTGCAGGGTACGTACCTTTTGTTGGCAGGTATCTCTGCAGGGTACGTACCTTTTGTTGGCAGGACTCTCTGCAGTGTACGTACCTTTTGTTGGCAGGTATCTCTGCAGTGTACGTACCTTTTGTTGGCAGGTATCTCTGCAGGGTACGTACCTTTTGTTGGCAGGTATCTCTGCAGGGTACGTACCTTTTGTTGGCAGGACTCTCTGCAGTGTACGTACCTTTTGTTGGCAGGTATCTCTGCAGTATACGTACCTTTTGTTGGCAGGTATCTCTGCAGGGTACGTACCTTTTGTTGGCAGGTATCTCTGCAGGGTACGTACCTTTTGTTGGCAGGTATCTCTGCAGGGTACGTACCTTTTGTTGGCAGGACTCTCTGCAGTATACGTACCATTTGTTGGCAGGTATCTCTGCAGTATACGTACCATTTGTTGGCAGGTATCTCTGCAGTGTACGTACCTTTTGTTGGCAGGTATCTCTGCAGGGTACGTACCTTTTGTTGGCAGGTATCTCTGCAGGGTACGTACCATTTGTTGGCAGGACTCTCTGCAGGGTACGGGGCCAGGTCTTCCCAGAGCATGGGTTGAAACTTACTGTAACTATTAGCAACTGGGTAAACAAATGGTATGTTTTACACAATTTTCAGACTAGGTGAAATACATATGATACATTGAGATTATTGCATCATAATGAATAAGGCATTTACCAAGGATAACACAAACTCAGTGCATTTTCAGGAAAATCCAAACATTCTGTCAGAATGTTTGGATTTTCCTGAGAATGCACTGAGTGCAATGATGAAATACCTCTTAATTTAGGAAAATGAGAACTTTAAAAATACCTCAATTTTGACCAAAGTAACTATATCTTTTTTCAATTTGCTCGCCAAGGCCACTAAGTTTGTGTTATGCTTGGTAAATGCCTGTTTCTACTGCAGTGTTTAAGTATAAGAATGTGATGTTGCCGACAGAATGGAGCGGAGCTGGAGGAGTGGGACAAGAAGGGGTGGACAGCTTTGTTTCATGCTACGTACGCCGGCCACCAGAACTTTGTCCTCTTCCTCCTGGAGCATGGGGCCAACATGAGTGCTGTGTAAGTGTCACTGTATTAAATAGACTCGTGTCTCCCAGACCCTGGGCCAACATGAGTGCTGTGTAGGTGTCACTGTATTAAATAGACTCGTGTCTCCCAGACCCTGGGCCAACATGAGCGCTGTGTAAGTGTCACTGTATTAAATAGACTCGTGTCTCCCAGACCCTGGGCCAACATGAGTGCTGTGTAGGTGTCACTGTATTAAATAGACTCGTGTCTCCCAGACCCTGGGCCAACATGAGCGCTGTGTAAGTGTCACTGTATTAAATAGACTCGTGTCTCCCAGACCCTGGGCCAACATGAGTGCTGTGTAGGTGTCACTGTATTAAATAGACTCGTGTCTCCCAGACCCTGGGCCAACATGAGCGCTGTGTAAGTGTCACTGTATTAAATAGACTCGTGTCTCCCAGACCCTGGGCCAACATGAGCGCTGTGCAGGTGTCACTGTATTAAATAGACTAGTGTCTCCCAGAGCCTGGGCCAACATGAGTGCTGTGTAGGTGTCACTGTATTAAATAGACTCGTGTCTCCCAGACCCTGGGCCAACATGAGCGCTGTGTAAGTGTCACTGTATTAAATAGACTAGTCTGTCTCCCAGACCCTGGGCCAACATGAGCGCTGTGCAGGTGTCACTGTATTAAATAGACTCGTGTCTCCCAGAGCCTGGGCCAACATGAGTGCTGTGTAGGTGTCACTGTATTAAATAGACTCGTGTCTCCCAGACCCTGGGCCAACATGAGTGCTGTGTAGATATCACTGTATCAAATAGACTAGTGTCTCCCAGACCCTGGGCCAACATGAGTGCTGTGTAGGTGTCACTGTATTAAATAGACTAGTCTGTCTCCCAGACCCTGGGTCAACATGAGTGCTGTGTAGATGTCACTGTATCAAATAGACTGGTGTCTCCCAGACCCTGGGCCAACATGAGTGCTGTGTAGGTGTCACTGTATTAAATAGACTGGTGTCTCCCAGACCCTGGGCCAAAATGAATACTGTGAAGGTGTCACTGTATTAAATAGACTCGTGTCTCCCAGACCCTGGGCCAAAATGAATACTGTGAAGGTGTCACTGTATTAAATAGACCCGTGTCTCCCAGACCCTGGGCCAACATGAGTGCTGTGTAGGTGTCAGTGTATTAAATAGACTAGTGTCTCCCAGACCCTGGGTCAACATGAGTGCTGTGTAAGTGTCACTGTTTTACAGGCCTAAAATGGTCGCCAAACTCAAATATTTTTTTTTCTCCTTAACATGCTTAATAGACAGACATGTCGGGAATACAAGTCTGCAGTGATTGTGTATTTTCAGAGAACCTAGTTCTGGTAAGACGCCCTTCCTGGAGGCTGCAGCAGAGGGACATGAGATCATTGTACAGTATTTTCTACATAATGTGAGTCTTTGTACATTATTTTCTACATAATGTGAGTCTTTGTACAGTATTTTCTACATAATGTGAGTCTTTGACAGTATTTTCAGGGGCGGTCGGGTAGCCTAGTGGTTAAAGAGTTCGCTCGTCACACCGAAGACCCGGGTTCGAATCCCAACATTGGTACAATGTGTGAAGCCCATTTCTGGTGTCCCCCGCCGTGATATTGCTGGAATATTGCTAAAAGCGGCATAAAACCAAACTCACTCACTCTCTCAGTTTAGTAAAGAAAAAAATGTCATCTTTATGTCATCTCTGGATGACTCCTGTTTACATAATGTGAATCTTTGCATTGTAATTTCTATAAAGTGAGTCTTAGTGTAGTAATTTCTCCATAATTTGTCATCTTTCCTCACTGACTTCTCTGCAGGGTGTTGATGTGAATGCACGAGCATTTAATGGTGACATGGCGAGATCCTTAGCTCTCATCAACGGGCATATGAAGATCGTCAGTCTGATCGAGAACCACGTCATGCCCATATCTACTCTTCGGTCGGAGCCAGGTGAGCTAAGGGTTATGACCTCAGTATGTTGTGATATTTTAATGGCAACTTTAGCAGTGTTCGGAATTAAGGGGCTCTGTGGTCGTTGAGCATTCATGACCAACTCGTGTTATTTGGTCGGAGCCAGGTGAGCTAAGGATGATGACCTCAGTATGTTGTGATATTTTAATGGCAACTTTAGTAGTGTTCAGAATTAAGGGGTTCTGTGGTCGTTGAGCATTCATGACCAACTCGTGTTATTTGGTCGGAGCCAGGTGAGCTAAGGGTGATGACCTAAGTATGTTGTGATATTTTAATGGCAACTTTAGCAGTGTTCGGAATTAAGGGGCTCTGTGGTCCTTGAGCATTCGTGACCAACTCGTGTTATTCCGGGACAAGCCGAATAGCGACTCGTGCCCCTCTCATAGCCATTTTTGCACCGGGGTTCCGTCTTAGCGCAAACAGGCATACCCAAAACAATTGTCAACTCGTTGCGTAATGGTTCACATATATTTCCCCATATATTATATATATTTCAGATGCAAGTTAAAGCACATCTGGCCATGCAGAATTATACAGTATGATTGAACACATTTAACTGTATCTTGGGTATATTTTTAGATGAAAGACATATGTGAAATCAAAAAAAAATTCTGAGGGATTCTTTGATGAACAACTTGAAATCAAACGCGCATTCTGATTGGTTTGTTGTATTTTCGTACATAACATTCATAGATAGGGGGACGAGTCTTCTTGCAGGTTACGGAAAGGGGAGAGTGATGATGAATGGCTCTTGAGGCCTTCTTGTGTAGCATTTGATGCTGGGGATGCTGAATCATGAATAGTTTTGGCAAGGAGTGACAGCAGGTTATGCAGTCAGAGATTTAATTCGACTGGTCACTAGTTTCAGAGACCCATCAGAAAGTCTATGCTTGTATTTTTGCAAATGTTCTGAAATATTGTGGTCCTTGCCATTGATGTTTGAAGCATATGCTGAAACTCAAATGTTACCATCAGAGCTCCAGATAAGCTTTTGGTGTTGTGGGTATTTTACCGATGCATTTTAAAATCATTGGGTATCAGTAATTCTATCTGGGTATTCAAATTTCTGTTACCCACTAGTTTTTACACATGTGCGTATTTAAGTTAAATATTTAAAAAAACCTATTCATCTAGTCCCTGCAAACTGGTGTCGAGTGGGTTCGAGAGCTCTATAGGACTCAAAAATACCACGATACTTCCACAAGAAAGTGTGATGGCAAATGATCATGATGTAACTGTCATCGTGGAATTTGGCAAGGTTGACGGAATGCCCGTTTATAATTTCAAAATAAGTTGCTGATTTGCTAATCAAATACGCAGCGTTACTGCGCAATATTTTGATGATACACACAAGTTTTATTTTTGTAGCGTATCTGTAACGTTCGTTGCGTATTAGATACGCTTGGATTTTATTTTACTGCATATTTCTGCATATCTGATGCGTATTTTACGCAGATACGCAGCTTATCTGGAGCTCTGTACCATGGTTGCTGGTTAATGTTAACTGGCTATTTTCGAACTTTTGTCTTTTGCTTTTGGTTTGTAAACCTGTTGTAAATGAAACAGTTTATCTTTTGCTTGGCTGTATTTTTGTTTCGTCTGTCACTCTTGCTAATGCTAGCTTGTAGCAGGATTTGATATGTTAGGTGTCCATATGTTTGACATTCTATTGTGATTGTATGTTGTATTGAGTGATGATTTGTCAGATCTAGACGGAGACTTGAGCTCCTCGGACGAAGCCTATCAACGACCCAGACATCACCCTACACTCAGAAACTCCAAGACCAAATTGAGAGGTGACCCCATGTTCTACCATTCTCTGTTGTCTTTCTTTTGTCATTGCTAGATAGACCACCTCCGTGGTCTTGTGGTAGAGCGTCCGCCCGGAGAGCGGAAGGTCCGGGGTTCGATCCCGGGCCGCGTCATACAAAAAGATGTTAAAAGATTGTACTTGTTGTTACCCTGTCTGGCGCTCGGCATTAAGGGGCTAAAACAAGGACTGGTCGGCTCGGAGTCAGTATACTGTGTCTGAGTGGGGTATTCATGTTAAACTGCGGCATGGTATCTCAGTGAGCTAGCACTATAAATCGGCATCAGTCCGGACTAGTACAAGCAGCCACACACACACATACACGTGCATGCACGTCGCTATATAAGTGCAATAATCTTGGACGCGACGTTAAACCCAATTTCACCTCAATCATTGCTAGATATACAACACTAAATGCCAACAAGAGTGCTAGCAATAGGTTTTAGAATCTAGCATCGGTATTATATCTCCAGACCACGATCACAACCTCCGTGGTCCGGTGGTAGAGCATCTGCCCGGAGAGCGGAAGTTTGGGGGTTCAGTCCCCAGCCACGTCTTACCTAAAGACGTTTAAAGATGGTACTTGTTGTTACCCTGTCTGGCGCTCAGCATAAAGGGGCTAAAACAAGGACTGGTCGGCTCGGAGTCAGTATACTGTGTCTGAGTGGGGTATTCATGTTAAACTGCAGCATGGTATCTCAGTGGGCTATAAAATCGTCATTAGTCTGGACTAGTACAAGCAGCCCCACACGCACGTGCATAGGCATCGCTATATCAGTGCAATTATCTTGAATGAGACAATACACTCACACACACTTGCAAGCGCATGCACACTCACATGCACATGCATGCACAAGCACATACACACACACACACACAGGCATGCACACACACTCGTGCACACACACGTACGTGCATGCACATTGTTATATATAAATGCAAAAATCTTGTATGAGACGTTACACACACACTCCCATGCGCACATGAATGCACACACAGACACATTCACACACACAGACATGCACAGTTCAATTAACAATTAGGAATAAAATAAGGGCCTTGATAGTTGAGAGTCTTTCTAGATGTACGTATTGATCAGACATCTTTAATGAGCACAAGGGCAACAATCTCACCTTTGCTTCTGAGTATCCACACTTTTGTGTTATTTGTCAAGTCTTATGACGTCTTCGTATTGCTTGTATGATGTTAATGTGAAAAATGCTAGACCTGTGTGTTACTTCTCCTTGCAGACCCGAGTATAACAGATGGGCCGAAGGCGATAGCCAGACTCATAGACAGAGGCCACCCCAGTAAGTCCACCTGCTGCTGCTCTGGTGTACATAGAGAATCTCACTTGAATGTCCTTTGATACTTTCATACTTGCATCGGGGGGCACGGGGGGCCCAGTCGTCTAAGGCGCCGCGATTCGTTGTGCAGAGTTGCGTCCCTTGGGCACACCAGAAACCTATGATTTTGGATTCGAAACCCGGTTCGCCTAGATTATGTTTCTAGGTTTGTCAGCACCATACCCGTGCTCGTGGGTTTCACCGAAGTGGTAAAGATCTAAGACCTGCACGACTTCGGGCTTTCCTCCCACATTAAGGTGACACACCACGATATAACTGTAATACTGTTAAAAGCGGCGTTAAACCCAACTCACTCACTCACCCCTTTGATATCAAATATATCAGCACAAGTTTATATGTTTCATATCAAAAGACGCTAGGAGGAGTTTCTTGTTTTCATCCAAATCAATCCTCCTACTTTTTCTGTTTGTTAACACTGATAATGTGTGTCTTGAGTGTAAAAAGTACAGCTGACCAGCTTTAGTGGTGGAGAGATGAGTGACTTTGAATGTCAGGTGGATGTTTCATCCTTCCAGACCTGACCGCCTCCGTGGTCTAGTGGTAGAGCGTCCGCCCGGAGAGCGGAAGGTCAGGGGTTCGATCCCTGCCCACGTCATACCAAAAGACATTAAAAGATGGGACTTGTTGTTACCCTGTCTGGCGCTCGGCATTAAGGGGCTAAAACAAGGACTGGTCGGCCCGGAGTCAGTATACTGTGTCTGAGTGGGGTATTCATGTTAAACTGCGGCATGGTATCTCAGTGTGCTAGCACTATAAATCGGCATCAGTCCGGACTAGTACAAGTAGGCACACACACACACACACACACACACGTCGCTATATAAGTGCAATAATCTTGGACGCGACCTTAAACCCCATTTCACCTCACCTCACCTCCTTCCAGACCTTTTATTTAGACCTTTTCTTCCCACCAAGGATTAGTTTGATCAAATGTCATATATTACAAACATATTGCCAACTGGTCCTAAGCTTGTAAAGAAGCCAGATAAAAAATAGGTTTTCGTAACAAAATACAGAATTATTGCTCACTCTATCAACCTCTGGTTGTACACTGCTGTGATATTGCCCTCACTCACTCACTCTGCTGTGACAGATTCCTGTGTGCCAAAAGGCTACATGACATTCCCACAGGCAGAAGGACCACAGGCAGAGGAGACCAAGCTCTCATACAGGGACGTCACCTCACCCATCAACCCGGAGGACTACACGTTGGACAGCTCAGGGGGGCGAGGTAAAGCAGGGGTGTGGGGGGTAGTGTGGGGTCGGCTGGGAGGTGTTGAAGTAAGGCATGTCAAGGGGGTTGAAGTCAGACATGTCAGGGAGGTGATTTTAGGCTCGTCAGGGGTGATGTAAGGCATGTCGGGAGGGGATTGAAGTCAGGGTGGGTGTTGAGGGTGATGTAAGGCATGTCGAGAGGGGGAAATGTCAGGGTGGGGTGAAGTAAGGCATGTCGAGGGGGGTGGGGGTGGGTGTGTAAGGCCTGTCAGGGTGGTTATTTAAGGCCTGTCAGGGTGGTTATGTAAGGCCTGTCAGGGTGGTTATTTAAGGCCTGTCCGGGTGGTTATTTAAGGCCTGTCAGGGTGGTTAAGTTAGGCTTGTCAGGGTGGTTATTTAAGGCCTGTCAGGATGGTTAAGTTAGGCCTGTCAGGGTGGTTATTTAAGGCCTGTCAGGGTGGTTATGTAAGGCCTGTCAGGGTGGTTATGTAAGGCCTGTCAGGGTGGTTATGTAAGGCCTGTCCTGGTGGTTATGTTAGGCCTGTCAGGGTGGTTATGTAAGGCCTGTCAGGGTGGTTATTTAAGGCCTGTCAGGATGGTTATGTAAGGCAGTCAGGATGGTTATGTAAGGCTTGTCAAGGTGGTTATGTAAGGCCTGTCAAGGTGGTTATTTAAGGCCTGTCAGGGTGGTTATGTAAGGCCTGTCAAGGTGGTTATGTAAGGCCTGTCAGGGTGGTTATGTAATGCCTGTCAAGGTGGTTATTTAAGGCCTGTCAGGGTGGTTATGTAAGGCCTGTCAGGGTGGTTATGTAAGGCCTGTCAGGGTGGTTATGTAAGGCCTGTCAGGGTGGTTATGTAAGGCCTGTCAGGGTGGTTATGTAAGGCCTGTCAGGGTGGTTATTTAAGGCCTGTCAGGGTGGTTATGTAATGCCTGTCAAGGTGGTTATGTAAGGCCTGTCAGGGTGGTTATTTAAGGCCTGTCAAGGTGGTTATTTAAGGCCTGTCAGGGTGGTTATTTAAGGCCTGTCAGGGTGGTTATGTAAGGCCTGTCAGGGTGGTTATGAAAGGCCTGTAAGGGTGGTTATGTAAGGCCTGTCAAGGTGGTTATGTAAGGCCTGTCAGGATGGTTATGTTAGGCCTGTCAGGGTGGTTATTTAAGGCCTGTCAAGGTGGTTATGTAAGGCCTGTCAAGGTGGTTATTTAAGGCCTGTCAGGGTGGTTATTTTAAGTCGGTCAGGGTGGGGTGAAGTAAGGCCTGTCAGGGTGATGTAATTTAACTTAGCGGAAATACCAATTTGAATATAAACACAAACACGGTTTATTGAGCAGCAGTTGTAACAAGTATGTAACCATGTCATCCAAAGAATAGGAGTTACACAATGGGCATCCGGTGAGTTATCACTGCTGGGGTCAAGAGTTCTACCCACTCGTGTCAAGCTTGTTGTCACCTCCACATACCAATCAATGCTAGTCAACAGAGTAAACATATAAACTGTGTGTTCTTTTTAGGAATAAACTGCTTATTGTTTTTACGGAAGTGCCCTACTCAGCACTAATAAGCGGCGTTATTTGTTGTTTGATTGGATTAAGGTAAGGGTATGTATCATTCTACTGGGGATGGGGTGGGGGAGTCGCATTGATATTGTGGCGCATTTTTGGCTAGGGGTCAGCAGTCATATTAATTTGGAGACGCATTAATTTCCAGATTTACTGAAAACTTTGAATTACAGAAATACATTGATATATGATATCCTTATAGTGTGTATTACATGGAGTACAGACCGCCTCCGTGGTCTAGTGGTAGAGCATCCGCCCGGAGAGCGGAAGGTCCGGGGTTCGATTGCCGACCGCGTCATACCAAAAGATGTTAAAAGATGGTACTTGTTGTTACCCTGTCTGGGTTTGGCATAAAGGGGCTAAAACAAGGACTGGTCGGCTCGGAGTCAGTATACTGTGTCTAATTGGGGTATTCATGTTAAACAGCGGCATGGTATCTCACTGAGCTTGCACTATAAATCGGCATCAGTCCGGACTAGTACAAGCAGCCACACACACACGCGTACATGCACGTCGCTATATAAGTGCAATAATCTTGGACGTGACGTTAAACCCCATTTCACCTCACCTACATGGAGTACAAGTTTGGAATGTTAAACTATTGCCTGACTTATGTGTTGCAGAGTCGTGTGAGTATGATGATGACAGCAATGCCTTCTCCAAAACTGGTGCAATAACCATCAAGAGCAGCTCCAGCTCTAGCGGCGGACTCGTGGCCGCCCTCGGACTCCACCGAGAGAGTAGTAGTGACAGTGACGAACTTGTGATGTCAGGGTCACATGACCGGAAGTTGGAGTCACGTGACAGGATGACCGAGACACAGGACAGGAAGTCTGTTTCACATGACAGGGCATCAGAGACACGTGACATGACGTCACATGACAAAAAGTCGGTGTCACATGACCGGACTATAGAGTCACATGACAGGAAGTCAAAGTCACGTGATCAGATCCCAGGAAAGAAAACCAAGTCTCATACGTCCAATCATGACAGGCATGAACAAAATGTGCCTCAATCACCTCACATCGAATCTCAAATGGAGAATGTTCAGATCTCAAACTCTAGTGACATTTCTAGTCCGAGCTTCACTTCTCGAACCCTATCACAGATCGGGAAGGAATCCGATTCTGACTCAAGTTACTCTCCGATGACTTCTCCCTCCATGATGAGAGACTACGGCAGTGACAAAGATTCTGCAATTGTGCAAGATTCCGAGTTTCCACAGGATCCCACACCCCTTGCACTTAGACCACAATGCACTAGTCAAGATGGCCGCAGCAACAGTATTGCCTATGACTATTTGCCCCCGCTACAGCCACGGGACACTCCGACAGGGTTACGGCGGCCACTGGCGGAGACAGCGTGCATCCTCCCTGGCGACCCCCAGGACTTACACACTCTGCTGCAGCAACTGGGACTTCAGAAATACCTGGCAACGTTCGAGGAGCAGGATGTCGACCTACCAGTGTTCCTCTCACTCACGGATAATGATCTCAAAGAAATAGGCATCAAGTGAGTAGCGTTTTCTTCAATAATCATTTTGTCCCTGTGATTTTATCCCCGTGGAGATTCCGGGTTAGATTCGACCGCCAAAAACCCACGGTGGTTGTAAGAGGCGACCAAATGGATTGGGTGGTCAGGTGTGTGTCCTTGAACGCTTACGGAGTGGATTGTTGCTCACAATATCGATCACTGGATTGTCTAGCCGTGGAGTCTTTCCACTTTAATCAACTCATGTTGATATATACTCAACAACAAAAGTTCCTGTGACACCAATATTTTAGTATATTTTTCAAACAAGTAAAGTTTGGTTTTCAATATTGTAGTACATGTATGGAATCAAGTCCCAAAAACACAACTGCTACAGAAAAGCATGCATTGCATGCAAAAGTTGACTTTTATGCAAGCCCCATGCATTTCACTACCCAAGAATGGGTATAAAAACATGTGCATTAACGGGATTCCATATGCATTGTAGGGCTGGGACGAGTCCAAATTTACTACCCGGGTACCCACCCCCTATTAACTGATCCTACCCGGATACCTGCTATAGGTACAAACTGTACGATTGAGAAAAGTTTGACCGTAGTCCTGGCAAAATGTGTTTATATACACGTATAAAACGATCTGGTGTATACACTGAAGTTTACTGAAGTTTTATTTCTATTCAAACATATAAAAGTCAGAAGGAATGGGCGTAGTTGTCAGAAAAAACTGCGAACTTTAGTGAAAGTGTAACCATATAGTTCTAGATAATTTTTGTCTTTAAACAATATCACGCGACTAACCACGGGTCCGGGTAGTCCTGTGGGTACCCGAGTACTACTCATTACCCACCCTACCCGAGTACCCGAGTTACCCTTCCCAGCCCTAATGCATTGTTTAGCATCTTGCTGACAACAACCACTCAGAAAAACAATATTTGATATCAAAAGGCACTCGGGTGAGATTCTCTATATTATACAGTGATATAGCAATTCTGTCAAACTGTGAACACTGTCTCTCTCTCCTTTTGTCTATTAAAATGTTGCCTCCAAACACAAACATGTGAAAACACAAAATGTTTATTTTTGTGCTCACTGGTTATTATCACTGATGACTAAATGGATCGGGTGGTCGGATTGGGTTGATTGTCATCGAATACCCATTGTGTAGATCGATGTTCATGATGTCACTCACTGGATTGTCTGGTCCAGACTTGATTATTTACAGACAGCCATCATATAGCTAGAATGCTGAATCGCTCATTTCCATTGATTAACGTCATGACATGAACTTTGATTTCTTCGTAGCAGAGGATGTACCATGAAAACATCAGAAATCAGATTTATGGAGTGTCAGCAAAACTTGTTCACTGTAATCAAATTCAGGCTATTCAGCACATTTGTTGTTATTCTTTTGACAGGAATTGTAGGTGATTTTCTTTTGTCAAGTAGTGTATGAATGAATTGATGATATTTGTAAATATTATTGCTTTGAGGGAAGTATAACATGGTCATTCTGACATTTGCAATGGCCCAGGTTGTTTGGTCCTCGGAAGAAGATGACAAATGCTATAGCTCGGTGGCACAGTCGCGCCCCGTTAGCATCCTCCAACCTGGAGCAGTGTTACGCTGACCGGCTAGAGGGAGAGATGCAGGAGCTGGCCATACAGCTCAACCAGGTACTCACCACTCACCACTCACCACTGCCCTGTACACTCACCACTGCCCTGTACGCTCACCACCGCCCTGTACACTCACCACCGCCCTGTACACTCACCACTGCCCTGTACACTCACCACTGCCATGTACACTCACCACTGCCTTGTACACTCACCACTGCCATGTACACTCACCACTGCCTTGTACACTTACCACTGCCCTGTACCCTCACCACTACTCTGTACACTTACCACTGCCCTGTACACTCACCACTGCCCTGTACACTCACCACTGCCCTGTACACTCTCCACTGCCCTGTACCCTCACCACTACCCTGTACACTCACCACTGCCCTGTACACTCACCACTGCCCTGTACACTCTCCACTGCCCTGTACACTCACCACCCACAGCCCTGTACACTCACCACCCACTGCCCTGTACGCTCACCACCGCCCTGTACGCTCACCACTGCCCTGTACACTCACCACCGCCCTGTACACCCACCACTGCCCTGTACACTCACCACTGCCCTGTACGCTCACCACTGCCCTGTACACTCACCACTGCCCTGTACACTCACCACTGCCCTGTACACCCACCACTGCCCTGTACGCTCACCACTGCCCTGTACACTCACCACTGCCCTGTACACTCACCACCGCCCTGTACACTCACCACCGCCCTGTACACCCACCACTGCCCTGTGCACCCACCACTGCCCTGTGCACTCACCACTGCCCTGTACGCCCACCACTGCTCTGTACGCTCACCACTGCCCTGTACGCCCACCACTGCCCTGTACACCCACCACTGCTCTGTACACCCACCACTGCCCTGTACACCCACCACTGCCCTGTACACTCACCACCACCCTGTACACTCACCACTGCCCTGTACACCCACCACTGCTCTGTACACCCACCACTGCCCTGTACACCCACCACTGCCCTGTACACTCACCACTACCCTGTACACTCACCACTGCCCTGTACTCTCACCACTGCCCTGTACACTCACCACTGCCCTGTACACCCACCACTGCCCTGTACACCCACCACTGCCCTGTACACTCACCACTGCCCTGTACTCTCACCACTGCCCTGTACACTCACCACTGCCCTGTACACCCACCACTGCCCTGTACACCCACCACTGCCCTGTACACCCACCACTGCCCTGTACACCCACCACTGCCCTGTACACTCACCACTGCCCCGTACGCTCACCACCGCCCTGTACACTCACCATGTACTTGTATACTACCATCTACTTGTACACTCACCACTGCCCTGTACACTCACCATCTACTTGTACACCCACCACTGCCCTGTACACCCACCACTGCCCTGTACACCCACCACTGCTCTGTACACTCACCACTGCCCTGTACACTCACCACTGCCCTGTACTCTCACCACTGCCCTGTACACTCACCATCTACTTGTACGCTCACCACTGCCCTATACACTCACCACTGCCCTGTACACACACCACTGCCCTGTACACTCACCACTGCCCTGTACACTCACCACTGCCCTGTACGCTCACCACTGCCCTGTACACTCACCACTGCCCTGTACACTCACCACTGCCCTGTACACCCACCACTGCTCTGTACACTCACAACTGCCCTGTACACTCACCACTGCCCTGTACACTCACCATCTACTTGTACACTCACCACTGCCCTGTACACTCACCACTGCCCTGTACACTCACCACTGCCCTGTACACTCACCACTGCCCTGTACACTCACCATCTACTTGTACACTCACCACTGCCCTGTACACTCACCACTGCCCTGTACACTCACCACTGCCCTGTACACCCACCACTGCTCTGTACACTCACAACTGCCCTGTACACTCACCACTGCCCTGTACACTCACCATCTACTTGTACACTCACCACTGCCCTGTACACTCACCACTGCCCTGTACACTCACCACTGCCCTGTACACTCACCACTGCCCTGTACACTCACCATCTACTTGTACACTCACCACTGCCCTGTACACTCACCACTGCCCTGTACACCCACCCCTGCCCTGTACACTCACCACTGCCCTGTACACTCACCATCTACTTGTACACTCACCACTGCCCTGTACACTCACCACTGCCCTGTACACTCACCATCTACTTGTACACTCACCACTGCCCTGTACACTCACCACTGCCCTGTACACTCACCATCTACTTGTGCGCTCACCACTGCCCTGTACACTCACCACTGCCCTGTACACCCACCACTGCCCTGTACACTCACCACTGCCCTGTACACTCACCACTGCCCTGTACACTTACCACTGCCCTGTACACTCACCACTGCCCTGTACACTCACCACTGCCCTGTACACTCACCATCTACTTGTACACTCACCACTGCCCTGTACACTCACCACTGCCCTGTACACCCACCACTGCCCTGTACACTCACCACTGCCCTGTACACTCACCATCTACTTGTACACTCACCACTGCCCTGTACACTCACCACTGCCCTGCACACTCACCACTGCTCTGTACACTCACCACTGCCCTGTACACTCACCACTGCCCTGTACTCACCACTGCCCTGTACACTCACCACTGCCCTGTACACTCACCACTGCCCTGTACACCCACCACTGCCCTGTACTCCCACCACTGCCCTGTACACTCACCACTGCCCTGTACACTCACCACTGCCCTGTACACTCACCCCTGCCCTGTACACTCACCCCTGCCCTGTACACTCACCACTGCCCTGTACACTCACCACTGCCTTGTACACTCACCACTGCCCTGTACACTCACCATGTACTTGTATACTACCATCTACTTGTGCACTCACCATCTTCTCCGTCACACAGAGAGCTGTGTTGTAACTCTGTACAACTATTTCAGGTGTATGCCAACGTGGAGAAGTTGAAGGCCCAGGTGCAACAGGAACAACAGTTGAGATCAGTCACAGAGAGCTGCCTGATGGAAGAACGGGGGCGCGTGCAGCACGTTACCATGGATACAAGACACAAATGTGCTGAAATCAAAGACACTGTTAAGAGGCTCAAGTAGGCTATGTTTTGTGTTGTTTGATTCAGATGACTTTTAGACCTAATATAGTGTTTTTGTCAGTCACGATACACTATATCAATTAATATCAGGTCCAGTTGTCCACTGTAACTGAACGGCATCACCACTGTATGTAAAACAAGTCGAAATGCAAGAAAGATGCTGCAAGTTTTAAAACATTGTAGTGGTGGGTTGCTGTTTTTCCACAACTTTTTATCAAAAACATGTTAATTATATAAGGAATATAATTGAGAATGTATTTGCAAAATTACAAATAGACTTCTGAAAACAGTCAAGTCCCGTTAATCTGACATTGTTGGTTGCACGTTTGTGATCGAAAATTGGCCAAAATTTGTTACAATAGATAACGATACCAACACGTAGGAAAATGAAAAATGAAATATTCATATTGTTGTGTTACATTGTCAGCGGAATATGTTTTCTAATCATGCAGCCACTAAAGTTTAACTACTGTTACGGACTGTATGACTGATTCAAAATTGTCTGATTTTGAAAGCATAGTCTGGAATGGAAGTTGCTAATTTGAAACTGGTGCCGCAATGCTTAAGAAAGCTGCTTTCTTAGTGGCTAATGTCGACTTCCTGTTAGTAATTCCATCGGTTAAAGTTCGTGAAAGGTCGTTCTGACATGACCTGTAATGGGATGTCCTCAGCGGTAGCGAGAGCTTGTATCCGATTTTATGAGATTGAGGTAATCTAGGCATGTAATTAATCCTGTTTTGTTTATTTAAAGCAGTAATTGTTTATTGTTAAGCAAGTTTATCTCTGCAGCCGTTGAAATATGCAGCTACTTGTCTCACATCAAAACACTGGCTGTGTACTCGCAGGCAGATGACCACGGACTACGCTGATCACTGTGTCGGATTAACGAGACTGATTTCAGCAATTCGTTGCAAATTAGGTGTGTCGGAGTCAGAGTGCAAGGCTGTCGGATTAACGGGTGCTATATAGCACTGATTAAATCGGTTCCCATCATTTGTGTCGGATTAACAAGATTGTACACTCACCATCTACTTGTACACCCACCATCTACTTGTACACTCACCATCTTCTTGTACAGTTCTTGAGTTATTTCAGGCTTGATAATATATAATCTTTGGTTTGATTCACATTGATTCAGTTGATTGTTCTCCTTTACAGACATTTCCATTCTGAAATCAAAGAGAGGCTGTCAACCTATCTAAGCTCAGCAGACGACCAATCAAATCATGGATCTCATTCCAGGCAGGCAGATGTTATGAAACAAGGCTTCTCATTTGATGACAGACAAACACGGCCAGCCAATGATGTGAAAGCTCTGTCTCTGGAGATTTTGATCCGAAAGACAGAACATTATGTGAAGGATATCCAACAGTGTGTGTCTCTGATCCTGGTGAACAATGAACATTTGATGGACAAAGCTATCAAGTGTAATGTAGATCAAGGCTATGGGTAGCAGATCAAATAGGATTTCGTTTTCAAGTCATATCACACCAAAATGTTATTCATTTTACACTTATATTAGTATGCTGTCTCATTCAAAATGATTGCATTGTGAAACTGTTTTGATTATTTGTTATTGTTTTTTGTGAGAGATCTAGTCAGTGATGAACATTAAGGGCAACTCATGTTCTTTTCAGATAAACGGCTTTGTTAGAATAGACCGAGAAAAAATATATTTTCCTGAATATTATCAATGTTTTATCATAGAGGCTTGATGTTTTTTTCACTTGTTTTTGACATTCTTACATTATGAAATAGCGATGCACTTGATTAAGAGTATGATGGTCTAATTTTGAAGAAGTAAAATTGTATGTTGGAATACGCATGTTCGAGCTCCGTCCTCAGTTGTTACAAACTGTATGCTCCTGACCTATGACTATGCTCTTATCAGTTTGAAGGGAAAGTTAGTACATCGACCCAGAAGAATTGAACAAGTTCTAATCTCTTAATATATGTTACAATATTCTTTTCAGTCCGGGAGGTGGGGAAGCCTGGTGGTTAAAGCATTTGCGCGTCATACTGAAAGCCGGGTATGTTTCCCTAAAAGGGTTCAGTGTCTGAAGCCGATATCTTGGGTTCTGTTCCGTGATATTGCTCTTATATTGCTGGAAGTGATGTAAAACCATTCTCCCTCAAATTGACTATTTGCAAATTAAATCGTTTTTCCTTTTTTCTTTCAAAAGATACAAAAATGTTTTTCACTGAATTTTGTAAATGATAATGTACTAGCTGCTCATGGAACTACCACCCTTAAAGAATGGGCTGTTCAGAGACTATAGAAATAACGAAGGCTATAACTTATGTTTTCAAAGCCCATAAATTATTCTGGAATATCATAAACTTCATCCACCATAGGGGAGGTCGGGTAGCCTGGTGGTTAAAGCGTTCGCTCGTCACGCCGAAGACCCGGGTTCATTTCCTGACATGGGTACAATGTGTGAAGCCCATTTCTGGTGTCCTCCGCTGTGATATTGCTGGAATATTGCTAAAAGCGGCGTAAAACCATACTCACTCACTCATTATGGGTAACGTGAATCGATCCCACAACCTCTTGATAGTAGTGTGGGAATCTAACCATTAAACCACAGACCTGGTTAAAGATATATGGTTCATTAGAAGGTATCATGGTACAGCGGTTATCTCCCAAAACCCCTACATCCCATTTCCCCTACAACCCAGTTCCCCTACAATTAGTTAAAACAACACGCGGCATTTACCTGTCTGGTATTATGAACTCACCTAAAGGAGAGATTAAGGTCTGGAGTAGAGGTAGTAGAAATGAAAGGGGTAGAGCTTTAGGGGATTAGGGGACTTAAAGGAAAGTTTTAAAAAAAAAGAGTTAATGTAAGTGTAATGAAAGATGCCTGTATGATGAGAAGACAATTTTTAGAAATTACAAAAATAACAATAGGAAGAAACAATTATTACACTGAGAAACTGAGATGAGACGATTTACAGTTGAGATGAAAAATGAACATTTTGTTATAATGTATTATGAATTTTGAATAATATCGTAATCGTAATTAAATATTTATCTCAATCTATTCGAGTTTCTTGGGTTGTTCCATTGTATGAAATAGGTAACAGACTAGGGATTAGCAGTGCTATGGACCGTGAACTTTGTTGTCTTAAAGGGCAAGTTCACACGGAAATTAACCTATTTTTCTTGTACTTTTTCCACATTAAAAGTGTTAACCTAGAAGTGTCATAGACAAAAATATAAAAATATCACAATTAATTAACATATTTTTCGCATTAAAACGATTTATATTTTTCACATTTACCAAGTGTTCTATTCCACAACAAAAACACCATGGCTTATGCCCCTTGCAATATGATGTCATTGGTGCCAATTGATACACATTATGACGTCATCATGCTTTGTTAGAGCCGCTTCACGTGGTGTAGGTTTAGGTCTGTGATTCTAGCGTCTCAGATGCCAGCCAGCATAGTGTTATGCTGAGTCACCACTGCGCCGGAGTGTGTCATAGGCCATGTTGTTTTACCGCAAACTGGTACTTGATATCTTTTGCGTTGAGAATAGACAGGGACCCAGTTGAATTGGCACCAATGACGTCATAATCTAAGGGGGATAACTCAGGCCTGTTTAGCTCGAAAAACGAAGGCCTCATAACGGCATATCATTTTCACACTATTGTGAGCTTCCTACTTTCACTGTGAAAAAAATGAGTGTATATTTTCAAACACAGATACTAATTAATTCTAAAATTGAGTTTTGTTTAGAAAAAGAAAGAAAGTGATTTTTGCGTGTACACTTCCCCTTTAAGCTGTAGGGGAAATGGGATGTAGGGGTTTTGGGAGGTTACCGGTACAGCAGACCTTCAGTTTTATGACTGTTTCCCCACTTCCTTGCCTTAGAGTCTGTAGAGAGTTAACATGGGACATGTACCACCAATCTGCCAAAGAACTTGAGCTTTCATGCCGGGAATATCTTGTCCACGTTTGCCTGGTCACAACACTGTTACACAAGTATGTTTGTTAGAGATGATTTGCCTGTACACAATGTTGCAAAAGATTTTATCCAGTTGCTGTATGTTATTGTTGACATTTGCATCCTATTGTGCAAGCAAGGTAAATGTTTTACCGTGATGTTGCTGTTGTACAGAGCTGTTTGATATCTATGATGATATGTGTAGAGAACTGTTGTGGGAAGCTAGGACATGACTGATTTTGAGTGATCCAGGTTTCTTATTAATGAGCCTGCTTATACAGAGACCATGTAGATCCCCTTATAATTGTTGCATCCTGATGTCGACAACATGAATTTACTTAACGGATTCTGCATGTAGAGTACAATTTGTAAAGGCTGTAACAAATTAATTATTCGCTTTCATCCCCACACGCACCACTACCAAGTGACCAACCTCACTCTATTTTATTCTCCAAGACAAAGAAAATTGCATGTTGCCGTCTTGTTTTGCTGATAAGAAACACCACCATTTATGTAGTCCTACCAGACATTCATGCTTCATGCTGGGGGAACGGGTGGCCCAGTCGTCTAAGGGGCCGCGATTCATTGTGCAGAGTTGCGTCCCTTGGGCAAGCCAGAAACCTATGATAGTGGCTTCGAATCCCAGTTCGGCCCGATTATGTTTCTAGGTTTGTCAGCACCATATCCATGCTCGTGGGTTTCACCGAAGTGGTAAACGTCCGAGACCTGCATCACTTCGGGCTATCCTCCCACATTAAGCTGACACGCCGTGATATAACTGGAATACTGTTAAAAGCGGCTTCAAACCCAGCTCACTCACTCACTCACTTCAAATATGAATCTGATTTATGTTGAGTAGTTGATTTGATCCTTTCAGTAATGTTTAGGCAGGTAAGTCTTGAGTCAGTTGGGCACTTGTGGGGCTCCTGTGTACCTTCAGGTCAAGTGATGGATGCTTTCCGGATGCTGGTTTCTCCGCACAGCACAGCTTCAGTATAGACATTAGTGGAGGGACGATACACCGATGCATCCAGGGATTGCGATATCTTACTTCTCGATACAAGTATCCATCACAGTCGCACGAAAAAATATCGATTCATACTTTAAATGTTTACATTGATGGCTGTTACACCGAACACTTATTAGTAGTGACGTAAATATTTTTTATCCATTGTGTCATACTTAACACTGCCAACTGTAAATTGTCCGTGTGCCAGGTATTTGACTATCCTATGAAAGAGATGGCTTGCACACCACAGATAAGAGCACATTCAAGTATTGTGATACGTATTGGATAGTGAACAAGGTATCGTGATACGCATTGGATCGTTAACAAGGTATCGTGATACGCATTGGATCGCGAACAAGGTATCGTGATACGCATTGGATCGTGAACAAGGTATCATGATACGCATTGGATCGTTAACAAGGTATCGTGATACGCATTGGATCGTGAACAAGGTATCGTGATACGCATTGGATCATGAACAAGGTATCGTGATATGCATTGGATCGTGAACAAGGTATTGTGATACACATTGGATCGTGAACAAGGTATCGTGATACGTACTGGATCGCATAGTTGGTGTATCGTCCCAGCCCTAATAGACATGGACATTATATATATCAAGTCTGTTTTCAGAGACTGGGCACTATTGTGTCTACATAATAAAACATTATGAACATACCTCCTGTTTGTGTCTTCTGTTCAGGAGATTCGTCGGTCGGGTAGCCTAGTGGTTTAAGCGTTCGCTCGTCACGCCTAAGACCCGGGTTCGATTCCCGACATGGGTACAATGTGTGAAGCCCATTTCTGGTGTCCCCTGCCGTGATATTGCTGGAATATTGCTAAAAGCGGCGTAAAACAATACTCACTCACTCAGGAGATTCGTGTGCAGTTCTACTTGAGGCTTGTTTATTGTTTAACGTCGCCCTCATCAATATTACAGCCATATGACAGCAGTCTGTTAACAATAGAGTCTGAATCAGACAATCCAGTGATTGACATCATGAGCATCGATCTATGCAGTTTGGATATGATGACCTGGATCAACTAAATCAGCGAGTCTGACCATCAAATCCTGTTAGACACCTCTTACTCTAACCCAGTTGGACAGTGATTGGCTTCATACAACACGGAGGCATACTAAGATTCTATTTGGGCTTTGATAAACACTGGCTTCTAATCTAATCTAATCACTTTCATTTTCCCAGGCTTAAATCTACAGGTAACCTAGCTCTACATTGAAAACACAGTATGTTTACCTCCTAAATCCAACCATTCTAGCGTGAAATCTAAACAGTATTAAAGTGGATGTATCAGTCTTGTATCGCTCATTGCATAGGAACAGACATAACAATCCATAGGTTGTGGGCATTTTCATAATATTGGCAGCATATATAGGATGCTGGGTCTGCAGGAAATACTTTTCTTTCAGGGAAGATAAATAATATGTTGAAATATTTTTTATTTAACGCCACATTTTCCTTTTACTATATTATTTATATATACTAGCCACATAAAGAAACTGTGCACGGAGAAAATATAGATATAAGGGCACACCGTCCATATATGAAAGATAGGTTTGAACACAGCAATTATTGGAGACATTTAAACGCTCATGCACGTGCCATGCGATATGACGACATTGATGGGGGCCTATGGACGTGCAATGTGTTACTGCACGTGCATCCTGTGCAGCTGTACACAGCATGTGCAACTCAAAATTCGCTGTCACTTTGGAAAGCATGATCTGTGGTCTTTCAAAAATTCAAAACTTCTCAGGCGCAGACACAAGCATATCTCAAGCAAATCATGCCAAGATTGACAGCTGCACAGCGTCATGAAGCCATTGGAATGATCCGAGCGGAAATGGGGCAACAACAGGTGGCAACACATTTCCAATGCCATCGTAACACGATATCGGCATTGGTGAGGCGTTATCAGAACACAAATGACGTTGCCGACCACCCACGTTCAGGACGTCCCCGAGTAACGACGCCAAGACAGGACAGATGGATTCGAGTTACAAATCTCCGACACAGGTTCCAAACGGCAGTAACGACGTCCCAGACAATTCCTGGACTGCGCCGTATCCATCCCAACACTGTCAGGAATCGTTTACGTCAGTACGGGATTCGACCACGACGTCCTGCCATACGTCCCATCCTGACACACCGTCATCGAGTCAACCGTCTAAGATGGTGTCGAAATCATGTTCGCCAACCTCGAATATGGTGGAGAAATGTTGTCTTTACAGATGAATCGAGGTTCAACATTTCCCACAGTGACGGGCGCCAACGTGTCTACCGGCGTTTGGGAGAACGTTATGAACGCAACTGTATTGTGGAGAGGAATCGTTTTGGGGGTGGCTCTGTGATGATTTGGGGTGGGATAACAGCACGGCACCGAACCCCTTTGGTGGTTGTTCAGGGCAATCTCACCGGTGTTGGCTTCAGAGATCAGATTCTGAGGCCTGTGGTCATTCCTTTCCTGCAACGTCATGGCCCGGGATTGACATTTCAACAGGACAACGCTCGTCCTCACACGGCTAGGGTCGCAATGGATTTCCTTCACCATAACAATGTCATGTTACTGCCATGGCCTGCAATTTCTCCAGATCTCTCCCAAATAGGGCATGTGTGGGATGAAATGGAGCGCCGTCTGCGTCGTCTTCCACATCCTCCAGATAACGTCCGTGACTTGGCACAGGATTTGAGGAGGATATGGCAGGCCATTCCCCAGGCCTTCCATGCCCATTTGGTGGACTCCATGCGTCGCCAATGCACTGCTGTTATTCACGCACA